CCTCGACGCGTACACGTCGTCGCTACCGATACTCCAGACCCACCTGAATGCGCAAGTACGCAACATCATCGAGTTCCTCAAGACGATGCGCGGCTCCAAGGGGTTGGGTATCCAGCTCGCGAGACAGGGCATCGACGGTGCCGAGTATGAGTTCGCGAGGATGCTCGTTGAGGACAGGAACAACGAGGCACAGAGCTACGTCGACTGGCTTGTGCACCTTCACAGGAGCGTCCAGCTGGAGGTATGATATGCCCTGCTCCTTCCATCCCAACATTCATACGAATTCTTGGCTAATCACTCGTCATAGCTATCCGGCCAAAGGAAGAAGGACGACCCGTTGACGGACGCCAGCGCACTAGCAGGTTTTGCCGGCCTGAGACCCAACTACTGGTAACGCGGAGGGGTCAAGGCAAGCAAAGAGACCCGGGGAGAAAAGGGTGGACCGGGGGGTGGTGTGTGAATGAACTTTTGAATGGTTTAAGCGTTGTCAGAACTGCATATACATTTGGGTGTCAAGGGGGGAGAGAGAAAAAACCGCAGCCAGCTATGCAAGAAGAGGCTCCGGCATACATGCTGATCGAATTGTCTTGTTTCTTTACATTTCTCATTCTGATGTGTCGTATGCGAGAGCCCGAGCAGTTCCCCGCCCCTTGCAACATGCGATAACAGACTCGCGTGTATGTCTGCCAAAGAAGCAAGGGGACGATGGCCCCCCCCTTGCTCTCGCCCAAGGAGAGAGTGTGATACGGCTGGAAAAAAGAGGCAGGCAGCATTAGCAACATGCCGGATCATTCATCCACAAAGGTCCCCCTGCCCCTGCCAGCCATCCCGCATCTTCCTGTCATCCTCATGGATACATCCCGTCACCGGCGGCAACGGGAAAACGAGGGGGGGGAGGCCTGGCTGCCTGGCTGCCTGGAAGAAAAGCAAGATACGCGGGAAGCCATCTCGTCTCTGGGCCAGGGTACCAGGTGGTTCACCCCTCTCACCCCCTCGGCGTCTTGAGAGACGGGAAAAGCTCCGTGGCACTATTCTGGAAACTTATGAGACGGGGGAAAGAGTATCATCTGCGATGCTCTCGCCGCGCCGGTTCGAGTTGGAATAGTGGCGAGAATGGCAAACCGATGTTTCTTACTCGAGAGACAGCTTCCAGCGATGGTCTGGCGGGATTGAGAGCCGTCAATGTGTGAGTATATCCATGCGTGTATATGTCCACCTGAACCTTCCACGAATGAGTATTTAACGTCCATCAAGCGGAATGATCAGTTAGGCCCAAGACACAGAAAAGTCCGTCAGTAACCAGCCTCCTCCACCCCCTTCTTCCCAAGCAAGGAACGGCGAGCCCCTACATCCTACACGCCCCAGGCTTCTCGTTTCCCACTCGGCTTCTGGATTTTGCACAAGACACTGTTTTCCATTGACAGACTGGCCTCCCCCACCCCTCGACCTACAAGGGCGATCTTCATCGTCCCCTCACCTATGGAATGCTCGGATTCAGTCATGAGGAAGCTTCTGAGATGTGATATGTGACAGACGACCTCCCGAACACGGGGCCTGCCCGCTCAACAGACCAAATGACAAGTCTTGCGTCAGACGATGACGATGGACAATAGGAACATCACAAGGAATGAAGTCATTACGAGACGGAGCGAGATCCTTACACTCCCCCCCTTTCCTCTGTGCCAAGATTTCCACAACATTCAAGTGGACGGCTGTGTACTCCGTACAGCATACCTATTTCGATTGTCTCCTCGTAGGGGGACGTGTCACTAGCGAGCCGTTGGGGGTGGCAGAGAGAGAGAGAGAGAGAGAGAGAGAGAGAGAACCCCGTTGCCCTCCTCCCATGTCTGTTTGTGTGTTTCCACCTCAGCCGGCTGCCAAACCAGAAAGAGTGGGTTGTCGATGGTGTGTCTAGGTGAAACATGTGGTCTGCCGCGTTTGTGTATATACGTCCCTCACAACCCAACCCCCTTGGGGCTGACTTGTAGGTAGACGTGCATGACTCAGGCCCAGAGCGAAGCTGGAAAATATCCTGGTCGAGCCCTGAGCTCCAGGAGGATGGAGAGGCAAAGCAAGGCAAGGAAAGGCAGCGGGTTGATGGTAGGGGAGACGCCGGATCTGCGAAGGCGGGTGTGATCCCTGACGGAGATCACTGCGAGTTATTATTATCTGTATTCATACTTCTTTTCCGTATGAGAGAGATCTCTCACAAATTCCCTTGGAGACTTGCATGCCCGTCTCACTCACGGAAAAGGGGGGGGGGGGGGGGGGGGGACTGCCTCCCATTGCAGTGCGGGATCTTCATCTGGGATGCACGCCGCCTGATCCTGTCCTGGGACGCCTTGAGGGGGGGCCATCCGCAATTGAATCGGTAGTGACATGCTGTGTCTATTTGGACCCCCTCATGCTCTCTCTTCTTGGGGTTCAAAGGCCGGTCATGGAGATCGCCGACATCATTATCCCACCCCCCCCCTCTCCTTTTGGCCCCTTGGTACACAAAACAACACCAGTGTCGGTCTTCGTCCGCGAGGGTTTCCTGGAAGGGTGACATAAAGCAGGTGCGCCAGCGGCCCTTGATCTGCCAAGCTGGAAGGGGAAACCATCTCATGAGGTGGCTTGCAAAAAGTAATGATTCCCGCCTCGTTGCCGAATCGCCGAGGCGCCGCGCCGCGCCGCTTCGCATCCCTTGACTGCCGCTCGCCCGACGGGGGTAAGCCACGAGCCTAACGATACGCCTCAAGGAAGTGGAATGATAGAAGAGTCACTCTCACCAGGATACGCCTCGCGGGTCTTCACCTCGCCAGTCCCCCCCCCCCCGCGGCCGGCGGCGGGCTGCGTCTGGTGCCACCCCAAAGCCCACACCGGGGAATGGGCAGGGAGTCTGAGGTCCGTAGATTTCGCGCGGGTTGTGATTGGGCGGGCGATGCAAGGGCCTTGCATGATACACGAGGCTGCAGGCACCCAATGACCACCCGGACTCGTCTCCGGTTCCGCGCGGTTGGGTTCCGGCGCACCAGCAACAGGGGGGGAGGGGGGAGGAGCTGAGATGTATTGCCTGGTCCAGGCCCCGTGATCCTCTCGCCCGCGTGCCTTATGAAGGTCGATGCCGTGGGACTGGGAGACTGTGATCATTTACCCGCCGAGGGGGTCTTGAAGGGGCGGGTAGGAGATAAGATGACGAATCCATGGGTGTTCCTCAGGTAAAGGCCGTAACGGTGCTTCTGCGTCTCGGCCGTACAAGCGTCACACAAGGCAGATGATAGATGCCTCGCTGGAGAGGGGGGGGGGGTGTAGGGGAGCTGAGAGGAACTACTGATAACTGACAGAAGCTCGCCGTGGTCGTGGGATTTTCGCCCAAGTGTCCACCTACACTAGCTTCGTCGCCCAAACCATGCAGTTCGCCGAGGGGCTATTGCTCAAGGTAGATGGACGGCGGAGGGCATGGACGCTGACTATGATACCCAACCATTGAGAGGGGGTTAAAAAGCACACATTCAACGATGCGATGATGTAGACTAGCGGGGGTGTTTGATTTCCGAGCCAATTGCCTGCCAATAGTTTTCATAATGACCAGGTAAATTAAGAGCAGCTTCGGTTTTTGCCCAGATCAAGGCCAGCCGCCAAAAAAGCAAGCATAGGGAAAGATAGGACGTCTCCTCCCAAACCATTCAACGGGTAGTTGGCAACCCTGCCGAAGATCATACTTCAGCAGGGCGGCAGATCTTGGAGCCCATTGTTCGTTGCCAGGCACCGGGCTGCTTGCTCCTTGACGACTGCCGCTAATCGCACGCAAAACTTGCTTCTCCCTTGGCAGGTGTCGATAACCGCAAATTTGTCATTGGTGGGCAAGTCAAAGACCAGCTTGTTTTCTTCTTCTTCTCCGTCGTCGTCTTCTCCTTCTCGGGTGGCGCTGCGGCACGTGCCTAGACGGCCTCGGTGCTCCAATGGGACCTGCATTCGACAGAGGGTCGGCGGGTGTCCTGGTTCATTCTACTTCCTCGAGCCTTGGGCTTGCCGTTGGCGCTAAGGCTCTTCTGGCGAGAAGTTTAGTAGTTGGAGTCTTAGACGGCCGAGTACAGGATGAGGATCGATTCGATATGTCAGCGCCGGAATATCGGTGCGAGGGATCGTCCAGCATTGAGAGGCCACAGCCCTCGACTGGGCTGGGTATTGGCATCCAGGAATTGTTGGCCGCCTAGCCATCATGTCAGCGCCGCGTACATTGACGGTCTTTTTGTTGTGCATGTGAGACTCCGTATCCTGGACATATTGGCAGTGGTAATATAACGAGAACGAGGCGGGCGATCCCCCACCCGGGGCGCCTATCATCGCCTGGAAGTCGAACATACCGCTCACTCATTGGCCTCCCTTAAGTCTGGATGTCCTCGTGGTGAGCTCAAAGCATGTGGTCGTCATCGGGAAAAGGGAAAGTTCGTGCTAGAATATTATATCCTGATTCGGACTTGGAAGGGAAATTGATTTAGACCGGGTGAAGACACCAAACGCCTGCAAAAAAAATACCCCGAATCCCAAACCACCCCGGTTCCCATAAGCCCTGTCCCGACCATGCTTCCAGTCCCAACGCCGCTGGTCATTGAACGACCGTAAACAATACCAAACGATGAGAATGTCCCGAGCTCCTTGAAGACTCGGACGGAAGAAAAAAGAAAGAAAAGAAAAGAAACAAGAGAAGGGCGGCTCAGTGGAACCCATGAAATGAAAGCCTGTGCCCAGGGTCGGCATTTGAAATCGACGCCCGACGTTATAGATCTCAAGTCGCACAGAGTTGCAAGCAGCCTCAGCCTGGCGCGTCCAAGGGCGGAAAAAGAAACGAGCATGGATCGCTAGATTGAGAGCTGATCAGACAGCGCAGGAATGCCACTCCCTGCCCGGGTAAGAAAGACCAATGGGGTTACAGGGGCAGGGTTTCGATAGCCTGGTCGTGTTGCTCGGTTGTGTTGCAAGACACAAACACACCATCTTGTTGTTGGCCAAAGGGTGTTGATGTGACAGGTCGCACGGGAAGACAAAAAGTTTTCCCCAAGAGCATGCCGCCCTCTCAGTTCGCTCGACTTCCGCCCCCTCCCGCCTCAGAGACCCATACCGGGCACACCAGGGACTGAGACAGGCCACTCAGTGCATACGAGTCGGGAGCAGGCCAGTCAAGATCCGTCCATAATGGCTGAGAAGGCGTACCGGGGGTCGGGCTGGCTTCGGACTCGGGCGATCTCATTGGGCGCAAAGATCTCGCTGAAGATTTTGAAGTCGCTTTTGTGGCTGGAAGAGCTGCTGCTCGAGCCGGATGACGACGATGAACTCTTGGACTTGCTTTTCGAGGAGCTGCTGCTGCTGCTCCCTTTGGTCTTCTTGGCAATATCGTCGAGAATGTACTTGGCCGTGCACTGCCTGTCGTCCTCGAAGGCGAACATGACGGCGAGGAACTGCCCCCTCAGTTCCGGGTCATAGAGGAAAACGTCGCGCCACAGCTCGGCCAGCTCCTTGGGCGGGTTGCGGTACCCGTTGCCGAGGCCAAAGTCGCCAATGACCACGTGGTTGTAGCCGTTGAAGACGCAGATGCGCAGCGCGGCTCGCATCTTGTTCCGTACCAGCTCGCGCTCCTCCGAGAAGGAGTATTTTCTTCCGTGGTCCGTCAGCTTCGGCCATCTTGCTGGCGGCATGGAAATGACCGGGAGCGACCTCCAGTCTTTCATATCCAGCGACTCGATTCGATCTTGGAACTGGCGGAAGCGGACTTTTGAGGCGCGAATTAGCAATCTGCAACCAACCAAAGGTTTAAGACCGAGGGTTTGTTCCTACCGACATCAGGGGAGTAGATAGCCCCTTCGATCGGGATCGGGTAGTTGGTCGCCGAGTAGGATTCCGGATGGGGCGTGCCGAGTGTTGCTGACAGGTTACTGCGGCGGCATAGTCTCTCCTGCAAAGCTTTGAGTCAGAACTGGTCGGGCCTGGCTCGCAAAAAGTCTGCAATAGTTACCTCGTAGCCAACTACACCAGTCTCCCAGTCGCCTCCTGGTCGTTTCTCGTTCGCGGCACAGATGAATGGGATGCGAACGCCTTCGGTCTGAGCCCAACCCAGGGCGCAGTCGACAGGATCGCTGTGGACGACATCTAGTGTTGTTAGCTGCCACGCCCCTCTTATGGATGGAGTTGGTATAGGTGTTGCTCACAAAACTTGGGCAGGTCTGAGCTAATGAAGCTTGGGCGGGTGAGATGGAGTTGAAGCAGTGGTTGGGCGTAGAGAATGGAATACGGGGGCCATTCCTCGCGGAAATGCCTGTTGACCTCTGGGATGAGTTTCTTCTTGGTATCGGCGGCGACTTCTGAAGGCTTGATCTTTAAAGGCTTTGAAGAAGGCATTGTGGGCTCGTCGGAGTTACCCAGTACCTTGAATGGAAGAGTGACGGACAAAGGCTGGATCCCTGGTAGTAGGAGTCTAGTAGCTGGAGAAGCTTTGGGGAGTATGTATGGCTCGGGAGTGAAGAAACCAACGTGGGCTTGATATGGGCGCCTCCTGCGACCTTAAATATCTCTCTGCAACGAACAGCAAGTCTACAGTCGATATAGAATGCGGCTTGTAGGCCAGCCGCGTGGAGGGCAGAAAAAGAAACAACGACATGGTATCCCGATGCCCTCTACGGAGGAATTGCTTTGCCTCTCCAGGAAGCGAGAGCGGTGAAGGCTGGACTAGGGGAGTGTAACCAATACTTGCCGAATCTCAGTCACGTCTGCGACATTCCAGGGTAGTGTGTAGGAAGGGCGCGCAGAGGGTGGATGGGTTTGCCGTGGTTGTGATGAGGGATGTCTTGCTTATAGAGAAACCCGGGTGGTGTCACGTCAAGCTTCCCGTGGTCTTGGTAAGTGGAAACCGATCGAGATACTACTGCAATCTGCCGCAGTCATACGAGATCTTACTGTGTCCCAAGATCTGAACTGAGGCGATCCTCCCAGCGGGGGAAGCACCATTGAGAAAGGCAGTGCAACAAGGGTCGATGGTCCATATCGACTAGGGGGGGGGGGGGAGGGGGGTGTGTGAAGAAGACATGTCGACGAGGTTCCAGCCAAGATGTCCAGGGAAAGGGAAAGATGGCGAGGGAGAACAGGATGCGAGGGTCGGATCGGCCATGTCTGGCAATGCCTTGTAGCTTCTTTAGGTTGGGCTAGTCTCTGTGCTAATAAGCAATAAGCTGGGTATGAGAGAAGCAAGAAAAAGAAACCCAGCATTATGGTTCTTGGACCCCCACTTGGGAAGAAGATTTGCCAGGGATTAGACGCGGTGAAGAAAAGCATAGACATTCATCTGGCGAGACAAGAAAGATGCCGTCGGGAGATGACAAGGCTTCCATGTTTGCCTGTTTGCTCTCCCGTTCCCGTGAGTCGAGTCGAGTCGAGTCGAGCCTGGCCATCTCTGCGTGGACCAAGGTTGTTCCAGTCAAGCTCTGATGCGCGATCTCTCTGGGCTGCACCGGGAGTCTCGATGCAAACGGGCATGGCGGAAGACGAGCAAGTAGATGGACGGAGACTCGGTCGCATTCCCAGGCCCATGTCATGGGATTGTGAATCAACGACTGCATTGCCCCGAGAATCATCGTCCACCAACCGGCAGCCGTGGTCACTGTTTGGTGTCTTGGGAGTCGAAGGCAGAGCTGAGCAACAGCAATGATACGACTCGAACGGCTAGTCCGTCTGGACTCGGACCCGGGTTCCTGCAACAAGTCGGACCGCAATTTGGAACATTAATGCTGTGTTGTACGACGATCTTTGTCACCATCTTTCTGCCGGAGACAGCAGCGGAGAAGAAAATCAGATCCGGGAGAGCTGGAGAACCAGGGATATGGTCCTGGGATGGGGGGGACGAAGGATATCATGTTTGTTTGTGGTGAAGGCGATGCAGAAGACGGGGAGGAGTGTGTCGTGTGAGGTGCGCAGGGGAGACAAACAAGACTGTCACTGAGAGATGTCGGTACGTACCGAGTGATCAGACAAGCTGATATTGTCCCCCCCCTGTCAACCCGAGAGTACCGTGCACAATAACAGCAATAAAGCTCAGCAGACAGTGGATTTAGTGATAACATAACTATCTCTAGAGGCAAAAGGGATGGTCTTGGCCCATCCTGACCCGGAGCGCAGCGTAGGAAGCAGGGTGGGTTAGTACCATTCCAACCCTCCCCGGCGGAGCCGTTTTAGAATTAAAAAAATCTAAGAAAACTGGATTTGAACTGGATTTGAACCTGCAGCCTTTAGGATATGAGATTTATTGCTGTTATCGCTGGTATCGTGCACGGTACTCTCGGGTTGACAGGGGGGGGACAATATCAGCTTGTCTGTAGACTCGTACCTGCCGACCATGCTCCCTTGTCTTATCTGAGATAAGGCGCTGCTTACATAAACACCCAAGTCCGGACAACCTATCAGCTTCCATCTACCTGGGTAGGTACAGGAGGAAGGTGCCTACCTTGGTACCTATCTTATCGCCGTGCGCTAACTGTCCATGTAGATATACCTAGATCAGCATTCGACCCGCTGCAGTCTTGGTGTACAAGTACAAGATTACCTCTCCCCAGCAGTATCCACTACCTAATTGAAGCTTCCCATTGGTGCTCATTAGCTACATTTTCTTTTTCCACAGCTTCCAGGCCGAACCTCAGTCACTAAACTCATTGATTGCCATATCGTCGCGATACTTCGTCTTCGTCTCCTTGCGCCGCCGCCATATTTCGCAACTCCACCTGGTCTAACATCACGTCAACCCCCTCTTTCCTTGCCTTGCCTTCCCTTCGTTGCTCGTTGGCTCATCTTCTGACTCCCTTGCAACATGCGACGGTAGTTGAGGAGGCAGTTAAGTTCCTTTCTCAAAGATGCGAATCCCAGCAATCATGTCCTCCCCGAGGCTCTGGGGATTTCTCCTCTCGGCGCAGCCCCTCGGTCGACGACAGCTCTCAACTGTACCGCGGAAGACAGTCGCGCAGTTTTTGGACTGGAAACCCGAGACGGAAGTCAAGGATGTCGTCCTCAACGGATACGTCAGATCTGTCAGAAACATGAAGACAGAGCGCTTCGTCAACGTGGGCGATGGCTCCTCCCGGACGCCCATCCAGGCGCTGGTTCCGCGGAGCCATGACGAAAGGTGCGCTCATCTTGGCTCCAGTAGCTTGTATCTGTCCCGGAAAGTCGGCTTTGTTGACAGTCTTGCAGCGCAAACTTGCGAGTCGGCGCCGCAGTCCGCCTACGCGGGTCGTGGGTTCCCTCCAAGACGGAAGGCCAGAGTCACGAGTTGAAAGTCCATCAAGTCGAGATTCTCGGCCCCTCTGACGCCAAGGCGAGTTATCATCATTACTATTGTCCCTAACCTTCTCTCAAACTATGTGCTCTAACATGTCCCTCGAAATAGACGTTTCCCATCCAGAAGAAGTACCAGACGCCCGACTACCTCCGTACCATGCCGCACCTTCGACCCCGGATACCCTTGAACGCCGCCATCTTGCGTCTGAGATCGGAGGCCGTCGCCGCCCTGACTCAGTTCTTCGCCTCTCGGTCCTTTGTACAAACCCATCCGCCTATAATTACATCCTCAGACTGCGAAGGAGCAGGAGAGGTGTTCAATGTTACCACGGGCTGCGCCGAGACATCAGCAACCCCAGCGAGTAGCGGCAATGACAAGGCGCCAGGCAATCTGTTCTTCCGTTCCCCCAAGTATCTCACTGTCTCGTCGCAACTTCATCTCGAGGCTTTGGCACAGTCGCTGGGTGACGTGTGGACCCTGTCCCCGACTTTCCGGGCGGAACGGAGCGACACCTCGAGACATATGAGCGAGTTTTACATGTTGGAAGCCGAAATGAGCTTTGTTGACAGCATGGACCATATCATGGACCTTGTCGAGGACATGCTCCGCAGCTTGGCCACGGGTCTATACAAGACTCGGGCTGCACAGGAACTACGCCAACGGCGAGAGTCTGGCCAAACCCGTACAGCCGAAGACGACCTCGTGCCGATGGAGGAATTGGAGCGTCGATGGTTGGGGTTGATGCAGAACCCAACCTCCAAGTGGCCGCGCATCACCTACGCCGACGCCATCAAGATGCTTCAGGCAGAGCAAGGCCGGTTCGAGCACAAGCCTACATGGGAAGGTGGTTTACATTCAGAGCACGAAAAGTTCCTCGCCAAAACCCTTGGTGCCACCAACGACCCCGGCGCTTACTCTCCCGTCTTTGTCACTCACTACCCGAGGGAGATCAAAGCATTCTACATGCGAAGATCGGACCCTTCAGCTAGCATCTCTGAGAAGTCTGGTGATACGGTCGACTGTTTCGATCTGCTTGTACCTGACTTATGCGAGATTGCCGGTGGCTCCATGCGTGAACATCGTTTGGAATCCCTCTTGGAAACCATGCAAGCCCGCGGAATGGGCTCTCCATCCGTAGATGGACGTGGAAGCCATTCTGGTGGTGATCTGGACTGGTATGTCGACCTCCGCCGTTGGGGCTCCAACCCTCATGGTGGATTCGGCCTGGGCTTCGACAGACTGCTCAGCTACCTCGTGGGCGTTCCGAATGTGAGAGACGTCGTGGCCTTTCCACGCTGGTTTGGTCGATGCGACTGCTAAGTTCTACCGGATGAGAGGAGGTCCTCGGATAACTCGCTCACCGCTTGTGCCGTCTACCGACACTGGCCCTCGTTAAGCTTTGCCTACCTGGGATTCTGGAAATCGAGCCGGATGGAACACTCGCAGTCTACGTTACACGGCGATCGGCTCACTCGTCCTACCCAAGTGATCAAGTCGAACAAACAATCACCTCGTTCATGTGCGCTATGTGGCGACTATTCTTCCAGGTGGGCTGCCTCGGCCAGACGACCTGCCCCTCCCAAGTTTAATGTTTCATCCTCTGGTAGCATGCAGATCACAGGACGAGGAATTCACGGGGTAATCACGCGATGTTGTACGACGGACGGGAGCAGGCAACCAGTGTATTGGTACCAGCATGGCCTTAAGACGCCAAGAACACGACTGCATCCGACCGAATGGAGCCGACGATGGCCGCTCCCTCGACAGGGAGAAACCATTAGATATCACGCTTTGTATAGCGAAGTGCGGCAAGCAAGATGTTCATTGCTCCGGCCATTCACCCATACGCGTCGCCCTTCCCGTGCCGTGTGCGCTAAGGAACACATGTTCAATTTCAATGTCCTCAAGTTATGGGCTGACGTTCGTGTCACATACCACGGGCCAAGACTATGTATCAATATCTTGTACAATACTTTATCACGCGTCTCGATATCTTTCATTTATTGACCCACCTTGCCTCGTTGCCAAGACTGAGGGAATTGGTATTAGCCATCTCCATGACACGCTCGCGGTCTTTCCGTCAATAGATTATGCCTTTCGGGGGCTAGCGAAAGATGGTATCAGGGACAAATAACGCGCAGTACTAAACTGGGCGTCTCCTCGAGGGCCCGATGTCTTGAGATTCTAAGTCGTCCACGGCGATGAACATTCTGGCGATATACCTTACAACAAACGGTCTCGCTTGCTTCCACCACACCTTGCTTTGACAGCTTTACATGCTAACGAGTCAACATTAGCCAAGTAACGTACTGATGCGACAAACTGGTAGGATGTCTGACGACATCTGGCTGTTGGCATCATCGTCTTGTCGATCGCCTAGCCAGGCTGGCCCCGATGCTTGAAATGCCGTTGAAGAAGTTCCCAAACATGGGAATTGAAGCACAGCGAAAGGTCTACCTAGACGACGCCATATAATGGACGTTCAATGCTCGTAACGGCTTTGGATCATCCATCGCTAGCTATGGCTGGACAGAAGACTGGCCACTCTGCAATCATTCCACCATACGACCCGTGAATCTACGGCGGCCTTTCCCAAGACCGCATGGTTTCGTGGGTATCCGAAGAGGAGACAGGGCGATAGTATTCAACCATTTCCCAACCGAAGCATTACGAAGCAGTCGCCATGCGGCTGAGGACAATTAAACCGCTACCTTTTCTCGCCGTAGGCCTCGGTCCGGGTCCAGAGAGAGAAAAGGCAACGTCAGGCCATGGCCGTGTCAACAAACGCAGACCATCAGATCATTCCACGGTCTCCAGCCGAACCCAAATTGGCTGGTGTTCCAATGCGCATCCAGACCATGGCACAGAAACTGTGGTACAACGACAGCATGCCAGACGAGGTAGCCGGCGGGACTGTTGAGTACTCGGACAAGAAGACAGCCAGAGCGACCCCCACTATCTACGACGTTGTACTAATGTCAAGGGATGAGCTTCTCTTGGACCACAAGGTCTTCGTCCTCGTTATTTCCGTGCACGCCCGCCTTGGCAGTAGTGAGTTCCCGTTGGGACTGAGCGGCTTGTTAGGATTCGAACACGGGTCCGCCAAATCTGCCAAGCACCTTGGATCTTGCTTGGCAAAGGTTTTGAGCCAACGGCAGGCGTGCTTCTTGGGCTATATTACTATGTATATCCGTACCCGTAACAGGAAGAAGCAACAAGTTTGGTATAGTGGCACCCGCCCGAGCGGTGTGGGGAGGGGAACCTGGTTAGGGACAGGGCTCTCCAGCGATCAACGAAGATGGTGTCGCCATGTAGCAATGGTCAAGAAGAGAGTGAGCAGCATCGTGGAACAAGCAGCCATTGACGTAGTATCAGTATCGTCTCTTGACGGGTTCGCCCCCACCACGTCAAACAGTCAAGCCGTCAAGCCAGGGAGTATCTCCCGCTTAGACTTCGGGGGCCACGGGGATACTGCCTTTCTAGGAGCGGGAACATGAACAGGGAACCCGAACGCCGGTGGGGAGGGACACTCCCCCTCCCCTAGCACCCGAAGAGGACAGGAGATCCGCAAAAGCTTCGCTCGAAGTGGAGAGTCGGCGGAAAGCCTCGATTAACAAATCAGTCCAAGCGTTCCATGTTTGTGCGGCAGCTGTCTGTCCAGTTAGGGATAGCGAGATGGCCTTACTCACGGCATTTAGGTGCGGCGTCTTCTTTGGGACAGTTGACTGGAGCATATCGAACTCATCGACAAGCCCCCGATCCCACGGAAAAGGCCCACCGCCCGAAGTCCGGTGCTGCCCACAACCCGAGCGATTGTGGAGGAGGGGTTGTGGATTGAAGAAGAGGAGATTCATATGCTGAAGGCGGGTGACTGGCGCGGACAGGCTGGTTGGTTAGTGATGGTGAGGGATTATGCGAAGGGCCCTGGGCCAACGCTTTTCCTGGATTTGCCGATGAGCAGGCCACGCCATGATGCCAGCCACGATGGCGCTATCGATGGCGCTCCGCCGCTGGAGACTAGCGCAGAAACCTCCAACCTTTGCTGATTGCTAAAGTGTTCTTTCTCGGAGGAGGGCCGCGCGTCGGCGAACCAAGTGGAAGAGAGCATCGTCTTGGATAGAACGAACACACACACACACACATACACACCCCTCCCCCTCTCCCTGGGTCCGTTGGTTCCACCCATCGTACTCATCAAGACACAGGTACCCGATGGCTTTTCTACCGCAGCGGACGAAGCACTCGTTTTCGTACGCAAGGCAGGGGGGGATGACAGAGTCACAGAATAGAGGGTGGGGCGTGGTGGGCGCATCGAACGAATGAAGGCCGAGATGGCGTGGTGCTGCTATCGAGCATCGAATTAAGCTTAAGCACACCCTCGGGATCTTTGTGGGAAACGGGCCAAGAGCAGCAGCCCATGATGGGTGCTGACTTGCGCCGAATCACGGCCTGTGCGTGGCTTTTTCTCCTCGTAGCCAGGGAGGCATGGCGCGAATCATAACCTCATCCAACTCGTTGCAACGGACATGCCGTATTAGAAGGAGTTCAATCAATAATCAGAGGTCACAGGGTGTAGTGTCAGGGTGGTATGCTAAGCAGACGTCCAGGTTTCCATATCTGATCACATGCGGATTCTGGAAAGCCTGCCATCAAAACAACACAAGACAGTTTCATCCAGTCGTTCAGAAGCTTGGGCGGCATCCATGTCCTAACAACCAAGAGTGACATCGGCCACGCGACGAGGAAGAGATGGGGGAAAAGCCCACTAACAGGCTAAGGGGAACTTGTCCTCTACCATAAGACGACATAGTACGACGATGGTTCGAGGACAAGACTTGTGCTAACATGGAAAAGAGGGTGTGTGTATGGGAAGACCCCGTGAACGCCGGCTGGGACACCGGCGCCGAGTCAAAATGTCGACCCCCCTCGGCAAGCAGGCCATGACACCCCTGATGCTTTTTATTTACTTTTTTTACCCCTTTGGGGTTCTCACCAGCCCGATAAGGTGCATACACATCGGATGGCCTTGGGGGTCATGGGGACCGATTTCGCTTATTGTGGAAATCTGTATTTCTCATCTTCCGCTTTGAGTCACCATCTCCGCTCACCGAGCTACGAGCCCGAAAAGGAGCTGTTGGATTCATGCCCAGCAGCACTGCCTCAATGACAGGTGCATAAATCCGGTGGCCACCTAGACTGAAATAGCCTAGGTCTCTTTCATAGTTTGTATGGGGTGGGCCAAACCGGTGTACCGGGTCTTCTTGGGCGCCCCCGTTGGTCATGGGGGGTGGCCGACATAGCCGGGCGACCGTCCGATAATGGTGACCTTGACCGGCACCGTCTCTTGTGCCGTTTGAGCGGAAACCATTCAATGTCATTCATCACCGCCCCGCCCCGCTTCGGACACTCATCCTGGGCTACGCGCCCGTTCGAGGTCTGAGCAAGCAGGGCTGAAAGGAACTTTCGTTGGGCTGGGTGACGGATCCTGCAGTTGGCGCTTCCACGCCGCAATTTCCATGGTTATGGAACGCCGCCAGGCACCAGTCAAGCTTCCGCTTGGCTAGACTAGTCAAAGTCAACCAACAGTGCGGATATCGTCAAGGAGGGGGGGGCATCCGAGCTAGCATAGGCAGCAACCAGGAAGAGGCTTCCCAGCATCAAGAACCCACCCATGTCTCGTTTCCAGGTTTCCCGCCTTTCGATGTAAGAAACGAGGCGGCAGCCCGCGAGACGGGAGATTGCGGGACAGCCTGAGAGGACGGAATAGAGTTGAGAAGCGCGAGGTTATTGCTCGACAGCTTGTCGTGTCGAGGTTGCCGCTAATGCACTCCACGCAAGGGTCCAGACACGCCCGCATCTCTCGCGATCCCGTCGAGCGCTTCATACTCCGCCACCGTAGGGTCGGGAAGGCCTGCAGCGCCTCGAAGGCGTCTTCTGCCAGTGGTTTCGAGGGCAACAAGGACAAGGCAGCCGTCTGCGCATATCTCATCTACCTGGGGAGGCGATGATGCTGCGAGTGCTGCTGTGACTGTGCTGCCGCTGCTCAGGCAGCATACAGTTCTTCCCCATGCCAAAGGCAGGCAGAGATAACGTCTCACGTCACGGCATGGTAAGGATTGCTCCCATGGGGAGGGATGCCCCACCGCCGCCTACCGAGCCAGCCAGGCCGTTGTCGCTCGCGTCACCCGGTGTGTGACATCTATCTTGCATGATTGACAGCCTAAGCCTGGCCAGGACCGTCGTCGACATACCTCGCGCTCACGCGGCCTCCCCTCCCTCAAGCGAGGTGCGGCCCCGCGAACCCAGCAGACGGGTTCCGGCTAAAGTGGTCGGGAATCCGATGCCATCTCGCTTATGAGTTCCAGCTGGGTGTTGTCCTCACCTGGTGACCGCCCCCGCCCCCCCTCGACGCGAACAGGCTTAGCACGAGGACCCTGGACTCGTTCATATGCGACCAACGGATTCGAACCCTCCCTCCATCTCTCTCGGGAGGAGTAGATGCACACGAGCTAGCGCATTCTGGAAAATGGCTTGGCGCCAGAGCCCACCAGGTGCTCAGCCAGTAATCGACTGCGTGAACTGGTCGAGCCCTATTACACCGTCGGTATGCGGCCGTCGACGAGCAAATCGAGTTATCTGACGCTTCCCACGCGACGCACTAGCGAATGGCTTCGAAGCCGCCAATGAGCTGACCTCTCTCCTGACCTGGCTCGGAACGGCTAGATGCCTCAGCTCGGCTGCCATGCTGAGAATCCGGGAGGCTGGGTGCAAACTCCTGAACTCTTGCATGTCCTACCTCGAGTTTGCTTACCCCTGTGAGCCTGTTTGGCGGGTGAAATGAAGGTTATTAGATATCTCGGTCCTCGAAACGTCGGCCCGTCTTCGCAGCAAACAGCGCCGCGCCTCGGCTGATTCGACCGGCGAGGCGCCAAGGAAGAAAGCATGGACAGATGCACAAACGGGACGGAATTAGTCAAAGCCTCGGTGCTACGCCGTACAGCTAGAGAGCGTCTGGCCGAGATTAGCACGAGAGTCTCTCCCGCGGTTCTGGAATCACGCCATGTTATTCGCACCATCTCCCCCTTTTTCTCCTCCCCAACACCCGTCACCCGTGCTCCCGCGGACGTTCGCCCGGGATGGCAAACAGAGACGGACACACTCTCGCGGCCCAGAGATGACGACCTGATGGGGATGGGAGAACCAGGTTTGGCGTCCCGGTGGCGGTGTCGACGACGTTGACTCCAAGACGGGAGGCGCCTACCCTCCACGGCCGGCCGACTCGGACGAACAAGGCCGTCGAGGGGCAATCGCGCGCCGACGGCGGCAGTGCGGGTTTTCCGAGTAGGTGGGGGCTCGGTCCCAGCAAAACGGCTGGACGGTGACAATCTCAAGAGACTCTCGGCGACCAAACGGATCATCAAACGTAACTTGACGTTCGGGCGCCACAAAGTAAACAGATAAAGAAGAAGCAGAGAGGCACCCGTGCCCAGTCCCGGCTTTGCTCATCTCCACAGTCGCCATCTTGACGATGCAAACAAGCTCCGGGCTAAGTAAGACACTATACGGGGACTATGCTATCTACAGTAGGGTACAATAAGTCATAGTACACCTCACAGTGTGTTACCTTAACTACACTAGAAAGAATACACAATATCTCTATATATTAGGTGTAAAACTAAATAACAAAAATTATATATAGATACCTTAGTATAATAGCTATACTATACTACTTCTAGAAAGAATTTTACTTACATAGTAGTAGAAATATAAAATCTATATATTAGTAAGTCTAGGTGTTTTACTTTATAAGCCTACTATGTTTAAAATAGAAGGAATACTGTATAACTTTTTTAACTTTACTACTTTATTACACTAGTATAATAAAAGTCTATCTCGAGGCTATACAGAGATTTACTTAAGCTATTTACTAAGTATATTCTCTTAATTTTAGAGTATCTAATTAGCTTAATATTACTTGTTATAAAGTAATAGAATAGGTGTATACTGTATGCATGTACTATGATTTCTGGCACCCCACTGTACGTACGTGTGGCCCCGATACCCCCCCCCCCCCCCCCCCCGACAGCAAGTAAAGAAATGACAAACGACGAACCCATGTGAGCTGCGCGCCATTTAGCGTCATGACTAAGACCGTCATATCGAAAGCGGCGTCTCCAGTTGGTTGGTTTTGCTTGATTTCATCCAGATGAAGGGGGGGTAGGAATCAGCAGTTGATAATACATGGTAGACCACTGTCTGGTCTGGGATCCTATTCATGGCTTCAATGCGCGAGGGAATTAAAATAAAAGGTGTATAGCACGGACAGAAACCCCGGACGACGTTAATCTTTAACTTTCCTTCCGAAGCCCCCTTCCCCCCCAACCGTCTCGTCTCTTCGGCCTTCCCTTCTTACACTTACTTTTAGAGTTAGGGTTTGGGCTGTCACGGCACATCCGTTTATGCGCACCGAGTCATGGGGACGTAGGGCGGCGGGTACGAGCTCTGACGCCGTGCACTGTAATATACTTCTTTGTACAGGCATACGTAGTTGGGCTTTGGTACATTACATGGTGTAGAGGCTTGTGGAACCTTGAGCTGGCGCATCACGGTTGGTTCTGTAAGCGGCCAGGCGTGAAGTCTCTCGGCCGGTTGTGAATGAGCCGGCGATGGAGAGGGGATCGACCTGGGCTGTTTCTTGTTCTTTTTTCAGGTTTCGGCCGCTCGGCTTGGAGCAGCGTAGAGAGAGAGAGAGAGAGAGAGAGAGAGAGAGAGAGAGAGAGAGAGAGAGAGAGAGGAAGGGAGGGGTTTAGGCAGGGCGTGTGTACTATGAATTGGTGGCTTTCCATATACCCCTGCCGTTTCTGTTTTCTTACCGTTATTCCGATCTTTGTTACTATTTACTTTGTTATTTACTTGGGAATATGCGCCCTGGTGGAGTTGGGAGTCTTGGCCCCGCGGTTTTGCGATGTGTCACCTGGCTGTCGGAGTTGACGGGTGTGCGTTCAAGGTTTTTTGTTTTTATTTTATACCTCATCGGCCTTGCTCGGCGGGGTCACTGACGGTCATCCGTCGGGAGGAGAGGCTTCATCGGGCTGCAGGTTTACGACAACCCAGAGCCAGGATAGGCCGCTGAGCCTATGGCCGTGGAGCAATATGCTCACAACCTAGAGGTCGGGAGAAGCCGTGCTGCGAAGCGTGTCTACAAGAATACGGATACTTCGTACACGTAGTCTGGGTATACATTCGCTCGGATGGCAGAGTTTGCCTCCCCTCCCCCCTTCGTGCAGGATCGAATCCACTTCCAAGTAGTTTGGAATGCCCTTTGTAGACAACGACGACCATGGAAACATGTCAGACTTGGCAAAAGTTGGAGCCTGTGGCCATTGACTAAACTAGTATGTGTGGAACCTCGAACATGGGATGGCGGGAAGGTTCGGTAATATCGTAAGCAACGCCGTATGTTTGGTAAGAAATCCTGGCTTGCTTGCTGGCTGGCTGACCTTGCTCGGGCTGACGCTGCCGTCATCTTTTGGATCTTGCGGCACGGGCGGGCACAGTCATCGTCTCGGGCGTCAGAGAGCCGACTTGGAAAGGAGAGCCAAGCCGTGGCGGCCCTTGCTTGGCCCGAGGGGGCAATGTTTGTACGGACAGCCCTGTCGGTTCGTTCATTCGGGTTATTTTTCTTTGAAGCGTCGCGCCGCAACACCTCTCTTGGCTTTTCCCATCTCATCGCCTTCGCGGGAACCCTCTTCCCAGGAGGAGACGGGGGTGGCCTCCTGACTCGAGCCCGTCGTCGAAACCGGCAGCAAACGGAACGCAACGCGGCGATCGACGTAACAATGCATAGTCTAGTATAGTAGTGAAGGCCTCTGGGACAGGCTCCGACTCTCTCGCTGGGGTTTGTCTTGGCCCGAGATTCGTTCGTTCGTTCAATAGGCGAGGAGGAGTACGGAGGTCCCGAGGTGCCACCCACCCGCGCCCCTCCGCCTGCACTACAACGGAGGCATCTCAGTTTAGACTTTGTAGAACCTTGCAAGGAAGATGCAAAGAGGGAAGAATCCAGATATCGCGCTCGGGAAAGGGCCACAATCCATCTTTTCCTTGCCGAGAGAGAAGCACCTGCAAAACCCTACAGACAAGCTTTCCGGCCATCGGCCGCACGAGATGGGATAATCCCGTCGAGCAGAACGCGCCCGCACGAGGTTCACGGTCACCAGGGATGGTGGGGGGAGGGGAGCAAGGGGAAAGTTTAATCTCGCGATCTCGACAATAAGCTTTTCTCCCACAGAGTTCGGGAATGACGCCGGTACGCACACAGCTCACGGCGGGAGCATGGTCGGGGGCTTGAGCAACAACAAATCACCGAAAAGTCCGTCTGATCAGCCATCTTACTTTTTTTTTTTCTTCCTTTCGGACAGATGCGAAAGCCAGTTACTATAGGCCACATATTATAGAAGTATGCCTATAGGCTTTTCTCTCTTCATTTAGGCTTCAATGGGCAATACTCTATCTGGTGCAGCGGAGAACCTTGGGAGTGAGAGAGACATTTGGAGGCTGTACCGTCTCGCTCCTTGGAAAACGCCTCTTGGGATGAAGTGTGTGATAGTAGCAGTCATGGGCACCACACCTAGTCAGTATTTGACAAGCAAAGCAACGGGCATCAGACCGTCGACTTGGTTTTTGTTTCTTGTCTTGTTCTTTTTACTTTCTTTCTTTCTTTCTTTCTTTCTTTTCTTCTTCTTCTTCTTCTTCTTCTTCTTTCTTCTTGCTTCCGTTTGCCACCATCGAGGCTCGTGTCTCCCTTCCAGAATCGTATTTCGGACACCAACGGGCCCATGAGTCCGACTGGCTCCACAACGCCGAGGATGATTAATATTACATACTTTTTAGTTTAACTGCGCTAACCTTTTGAATGTTGGAGGAGGCTTACATGGGCTAGTTAGTGTGTGATACGGTATATCCTCTGCCAGGGGGCGTGGGCGCAGACACGATGTACCTCTTCTTGTGTAAGAATCTTCTTACTAGGAACACCCCTCCCCATCCCTTCCCGACAGCGCTCAACAGGCCAGGAGGAACATCAACAGATGCCGGAGGAGCTGGGAGGTATGCCAAGACCACCAAGACGGCGCTAGAGAAAGTGGCTGACAACGCTTAAATTCATGCTTAAAACTGCTCACGGTGCAGTGATGGCGGCGAGCTGCTTGGCCCTTAGCAGGTTTGGCAGAAGAAGCAGGCCGCCCTCCTCTCGGCGGCGCAGGCCAAGAAAAAAGGACTCCCTTCGGTGGTTTGGCGAAAGCTCAACATCTTTGGTCCCCGTTCAGCAGAAACCTGAACGCCAGTCTGCGACTCTGCCAATCATGAACCGGCAGAAGATGAGGGCGAGGAGTAAGAGGGCGGCCGCCGCTCGGCGGCGCTATTCGAGCGGGCCACACACACACACACACACACACACACACACACACACCCGTTTGCCTCAGACCCGGCTTGTCTTTGCCTAATCTTGGATCGTGACTGGACGCAGAAGATGTGTTAGCGTCTCGTGCCCCCCCCCCCCCCCCCTTGTCTTCTTCTCCCGGTAAGTATACCAAAGAGCGAAGGTGGCCCTCGGTTGATTGCCGGTTATGCTCTGTCTATCCGTATGTACGGAGTACATCGCAACACCTCAGCACACACGGGCGGCCCCGCTCTGCCAGACTTGCTTCTTCCTCGCGTGCGGCCTTTTGCCGGCGTTTGCGACAACTACATTGTTGCGAGCCCGTCGTCGACCGAGGATGTCCAAGTCACCCAGAGAGATGGTGGCCTGTGGACATATTGCTTCCCCTCCCCACTCCCATGTACCTGTATGTGCACTCCGAAGGATGACACGAACGGCCCCCCAAAACATATGCCACGGAATGCCCAGTGGCGCTAACCTCACCTTGGCGGGCCGCTCGTCAGCTCCTCCCCCCCCCCCCCCCCCAAAGCTTGCTCCTGGTGAGCGCACATGTCGCTGCCGCATGTGCCAAGGCCTACGATATCAGTTCGCTCGTCACAAGGGAAAGCACCTTCCGGAAGATCACCGCCAAGCTCAGAAGTCGCAGCTCGGTCGGGCAGGCCAAGAGGGGAAGAGGTGAACAGGCGTCCATCCCCTTGTCTTGTACGGATGATACGGTGTCCGTTCAATCCGCAGACCGGTGACCGACGATCAGGCTGTTACCGGCTTTCCTCGTTTCTCTGCTTCCGCTCCCCCCCGTCCCCTTTGGCAAGAAAGTAATGGAGACACAAGGGCCATTGGGGGGGGGGGTTGTTTTGTAGTTATAGCGGGTGCCCCGACGTACTGGCGCGGCATTTACCCAGCATATAGCTCTGCAACATGGGGAAGGGGACCGGGTTAGTCGCTGCCAAGGGATCGTCCTGGTTCCCCCCTACAATGGGTATTGATGATTTCTATTTCATCTATTTAGCTCGGCCGGGCTCGAGTTTAATAAACCCCATTCACACCAAACACTCGCTTTCCAGATGAACTAGCTGCGGCAGCCAATGGTCGATGATCGGATAAGGGGCGAGAGACAGACAGACAGATAGGCGGCTCGGATGACGACGGGGCTGGGCTCTATCCATCAGCATTCCTCCTGGGCTGGGGCTGGCTGACCCGGCTGACCGTCGGCGCAGCGCCGCGTGCCTCATTACCCGACTACCACTGCTCGCGCGTGCCACCCAGTAGTAGCCTACAGGGCTGATGGTTCTGCAAATAAGCATTTCTGCCCTCCCCTCCCTTTACTAGGCAGCATATGATTTGTGCAGGAGGACTACCGGTATTTGGTATTGACTGCCGGTAAGCCGAGGAGGAGCATGAAGGTGTCGAAGACCGGCCAATGGGGTGGACAAAGTAGATTTGGAGGGGTTCTCGCCCCCGAAGTGCGCGTGCTTAGGGTCGTCGGGGACTTTCCTTTGCACCATTCGGCCGCCTCGCCGCAGGCCCAATCCGAATAGATGTGGTTTGGCTGCGAAGAAACCTAGACCAGGCTGGCGGAGTGCAGATGCATGATTCTAGCCAAGATGGAAGAGGGACGAGGGCGACGATGACGACGACGACGACAACGACGACGATGACGACGACGACAACAAAAACGACGATTGCGTGTCCTTCCGTGCTGCCCAGCACCACTCTGACCACCACGCGCGTCGTTCAATGATTGTCTCTGGGCCTTCCTTGAAATTGCATAGGCGGTCGTGGTCGTCTGCCGGCTGCTCGGCGCGCTAGCAATTGGTCCGAAAGGGAGACAGACCTTGGGAGACGTCCAATAGACCTTAAGAGTCTATTGAAACCTTAAGAGACCTTGGGAAGGCGGGAGGAGGCGTGACCGCTGTTGGTACTAGGTGGTGCGCCTCCTGTGAGCCGTAGAGCCGTTCGTCCGATTCGACCTTAGGGAACTATGACTGGGAGCAAGGGAGCAGGGATGGGGAGAGGGATACGGGTTATGGGGGGGGGGGGGGGGGGGTAGGGACACGCTCTGGGCTAACCTTAATGGTGTTTGTTGGTACATGGCGCCAGGCGCGGACGCAGATTGTGACAAACCTTGGGAACGATACACCTTAATTTGCCAACGAGCAGCATTTACCCGTGGTGCTGCGAATGCTCGGCACATTGCAATGCGTACGGGCGAGCAGCCCGGGGGCCGGCCATCACCACACATGGACATCAACCGGGGGACCTTGAGGCCATCTCGAGCGAGATTGACGAAGTCGGGTCCTGGAAATGGGATGGTAGTTGCGTGCGCCTGGCGGCAATACACCCTCCGACCTGTTCACATGGGTGCCAAACTGCCCGATTCGCCGGACCAAAGTCCACACTGCGCATATCCGTATCCGTTTGCGTACGGAGCATCCGTACCATGGAAAGCATTGCACGACCAGCAGGAGATTCTGCTGGTCGATTGGTTCGCGAGCAACCAAGCACGTTGTGCGCGTCCCGTTCTCGCATCGTCACCATTGCAAATACAACCCAGGATAACCACCCCCCCCCGGCCGCCCGTGATTGATGGCCTCTTCGCTGAAGCTTGATTCTGCTGGGCGGGTCTCTCTGGGATTTGTCCAACCCAAACGAAACTTGCCATGATTTGCGGCAAGCGTCTCACGAGAACCAGCTGTTAGCACCCCCTCCTTAGCGTAGCTAAAGGGAGAAACAAAGAGAAGGACACTGCGTATCACAAATGTTACGAGGCCGTGACAGGACGGTCCTTGGAATTTTTAAGATTTTCGTTCAAAAAAAAATCCTCTTTTTCAAAACGAACAACTCTGTGCATGTCAAAACTCGTCGAGGCTCTGCCTTTCCAGCTGGAAAAGGGCACCGGCCGGTTTGGGACATTTCGAGATTGCCCAAGCGAGGTTTGTGACTGGGAGTGTCACCGGCCGTGGCCCCCTTTGAAATGATACGGTGCGACGGGTAATATTGCTGAGACTTGACATTTCTTGGCCTTGGGCTCTTTGTGCGCTTGGCCGCCTCAGGAGAACCCCCCCCCCCAGTCGTTGGTTCGACCTCGACAGGGAGCCGAAAACACCGGGGATGACCCCTTGATGAAGGCCAATTAAGCTCAAGGACAGCAATTTAAAGTCAAAGATGACAGCTACAAGAGATAGAGGGAGAGGGGAGGGAGTATGAGGTGATATCTCGGATAAAACGGGAGACGTTGGGTTTGAGGGATGCCTGCTTTGGATTTCCCGGGGGGGGGCTTCCGGAGTGCACGGCACTGCAATACGACGCTGCGAGCAGTTCTTCGGCGTCCCAGATGGCGATCGCCAACGGAGACTCGTAACGCCGTGAAGCAAACTACAGTCCGTGTGTAGTGGTGATGACGGCGATACTGTGTGTGCGTATGTATGTATCCCGCGTGCGTACGCAGACGGCTACGTTGCCGCGTCTCTCCGCAACGAGATGAGATTATGCTCGTAATTTACCCACCATTACGTTGCACCTTGCCGGCTTCCGTATGCTGTACGAGGGATGCTCCTAGGCTTTGAGGCTTGTGTGCACGCTTTCACAAGCTACGGTGCGGTCGGGCGTACGAAGTGTCTGGGTCGGACGTACTCTAGCTGCCAGCGAATGTGCCAAAAGGTTAAAATCAACCGAAACCTTACGTATCACGGGAAAGGAAGGGGGGGGGGGACCAAGTAAGGAGCTAGGAGCCGGGCGATGTACTCTGTAGGTGGATGACAAGCAATCCGAGGCCGGCCCTGAGTGGCAGAAAGAGAGGCAGGTTGTCCTAAAGAGGAGAATGATTGGGAGGGTTTCAGCCTCGGCCGCCGAGCGTACCAACGGCGTCCCACGATCGTGCACACCGTCTTGTGCTGCCGCGCTGGTGCGTTCTAGGTGTGCGTGCCCGTCGTGCCAGGCGATGCCGGCGTGTTTGCGTTGCAGGTGTCAGCCGGGCTGTCTCGCGCATCATCTCTTGCGCCCTTGGGAACGGCGGACCGTGGACGGTGTGACGGCAACCTTTGAGGGGGGGCTCGTGGATGATGATTGACGGGATACGGATATACGGCGCCGGACTCGGGAGGGCGGTGTAGGCTAGCTGACTGACTGGCCTGGCACATGGTACGGACAATGTGCCGTCTCGCGGGCTGGCGTCCATTTTTGCGGCTTGAGAGTAGCATCCGGGGGGGAGCGTCTCGTCTCGTCTTTTCTACATGAAGCATTGGGCCTTTGGTGACATAGATGATCCAGCCTCAGGCTTGGCGGCGAAGAGTAGCATCCCGTCCCGTTCGCTGAAGTGCTGCCGTAAACGTGAGCCGGGCGCCGCCCACGACGTTTGCAAAGGCGTCGGATGCCAGGAGAAGGCCTCGGCGCTCGTCGATGACAGTCTAAGACTGATCGCTGGTCAACTGGCGCATGACGTGGCCGTTCCCGGATACTCGTCCAGGCGCAGGCTGACGACAACGGGAGGCCGAGGCGGTAACTTGTTGGGCGCAACCACCCGTTCGCCGGATCATCGTTATCACTACCATCATCGTCTTACCATGTTTGTCCGTCCCATTCAACTGAACATGAGACGGGGAATGGTTGCCGGGAGTCACAGACATTACGCAGTTGTAGCCATATTTGGGGACAGGGCAGGGGATGGGACGAAGTAATGGACATGCCCAAACAAGTACGCCGCACGCGAGAGGGATAGCCGTTGAGTAACACGGGTCCGTTTGGCGCTCACTCTGTTTTAGAACACGTTGGGTCGGACCACCCGGGGGCGCTTCTCGAACTCCAGGCGATCCCAATTCATTTGGGGTTTCTAACCATTTCGTCGTTCCCAAGCTTACACAAAACAAGGATGGCAGAGTCTGCCGTGCTGATCGGCAGCTATTCATGCGAGATCTGCAATCGGACTTTGGGGGAAAGAAAGGCCGTCTGAGCGACATCACCCAACCACCGGGGAATTATCTGCCACAAGACAACAAAGACATGGCGTGTTTCCCCCCCGTTCTCATCCTGTACAATCGCTTTCAAACGTGGGGAAGGATTTTTCTTTTTCTTCTCGAATAGGCTGCCTTCAGAACGAGTGCCGTTTCTTCCAGCCGCGCGGTTGAGAGGTAGGTGAGCCCGTCGATATACCATTACACATTTACACCTTTGGACCATTACAACGTCGTACTACAATACCATGCGACGACATGGCCCTTGCGCTGCACTGCACACAAAGCCACCGTTGAGGTCACCACCGTACAGTGGGGTATCAAAGGTCTCAAGCCACCCTGTAGTATGCCACTTTAAATCCCTTTAGTGGATTATAGTGGATTATAATGGATTATAGTAGAGAATACAGTAAGGCTGATTCGATCTTTTTTTATTTTCTTTTTTTTTACTTCCTATTTACTCTATATTACACTATTACTTTAAGTTAAAAGTTAAAATGAAACCCATAATAGTGTATATGAAGAAGTTATAAAACCATAAAAGTTAGAAAACTATACTTATATATTTAAGTTAGTAAGTTATTTTAAGTGTAAAACTGTAAGTTTAGTGGATTTAAGGTGGCAAACTATTGGGTGGCTTGAGACTTTTGAAACCCCACTGTATATGGCACTATATGCGATATGTAATAACGTACATGCATAGCGAGTCGCCCATCATAGCAAGTCGCGTACTTCCTTGTTGTATCTTAAAGGGTACTTTTTCAACTATTTTTTAAAAATCCAAATCTTGCTTAAAGTAGATACAACTTTTTACATAGATACCAATAAGAGTTAGAAAGTAATAAACGATATCCTAGAGATTATTGTTCTACCCTAACCCTGTACGGATACTTTAACCCTAACTGTAACAGGCCGCTGACAGTGACGCTCCTGCCAAGAGACCTTCTAGCCTAACCTATTAGGCCAAAAGATCCGCCAATGCTGACACTCTTACCAGCACTGCTGTCAACACTGCCTTATAAGGCATAGAGCCCTCTAGACCCTAGGCCCTAGAGGTACTGTCTATAACACTAACCCTTATCGGTAGGGAGCAATAAGGAACAATGAGGAAAAGTCAGGGTTGAGGTAAGACGGTCATTTCAAGAATATTATTTCTTAAAGTCTAAATCTTATCGTTATATAATAAAGAAAACTAGACCTTTTTTAGTTATAGGTTTGTTTTTAAATAAATAGTTTAAAAAGGGTGGTTTTCTATGCGATAAGGAAGTGCGCGACTCGCTATGCATGTACGTTACACCTTTTGTGACTGAATGGAGACCAGTCCCCATATCGAACGCAACGCCCAGGGAGTGAACTGCTGCATTCAAGACCTATTTCCCCTCCGGTTGTGACTTGCCTGCTGCAATTTAGGGTTTAGCTTTTGCTTTGACAGGTCGGCCTTAAAACACAGCCTCAGCCACGTCCCGGTAGGGTGGAGGGGCACGCGCAGTACGGGCCCGCAGAAATAAGAGCAGAATGGGCTTACGCTTGGACGACGGTCATTGGCGAGAGATAGATACTATACCAATAGTAGCAAGCTACGTATGGAGGCGGGTCGGCGGGGGCGGTGTTCTGCTGAATCAGGGCCGCGACACGGGGTTGGTTTATAGTACATGATTGGCAACCATCCATCGTTAACGTTATGGGGAACGCCGTTCGGCCAGGGCAGAGGCGTGCCCTGTCGGTGATGATGTCGACGGTGGGCCGGCCGAGAGCGAGAACGAGGGAGTGGGTGGTGCCGCTGTATAGTGGAGGCCCGTTCGCCAAGACGACCGGCAATGAATCAAGACAAGTGAGGCGGTGTTCTAGTGAGGTTTATTATCCTTCGCCTGTCAATATTGATGTCCACCCTGGACCCCATCGGATTGAAAACAGTATAGGAGGGATTCGAGAAGCGGAGAGGGGGATTTTCAATGTCAGTGTCATTACGAGCTCCAAAACGGGGTGGATGGAGGCATCCCGGGGCTGCGCTTCGCTTGAACTGCGAGAGGGAAACCGAAGTCGGGAACCGGACGGCTGGATGGCGGCGGTTCCGTTCATCCAGATGCTCCGCGGCCCGGATGCCCACGGGCACTGCTGTTTGTCTGATGTCTGGTGGTGTCACTCACTGGCGGTGGGCAGAAGTTTGTCACGGTCATGAGAGGCGAACGGCATGACAGACTGGTGTATCCTCCCCCCAACCCCACGCTTTTCTCCATGTCTCCACCGCCGCCTATCGTTGGACCGTGAGGGATGCAAAAATGAGTCAGAGGAGAAGCGGGACAGCTGATAGAGTGTCTCGACGCTGGCGCGCCTAGTTACGGCTGGCCGGCGTGCCCCCAGGTCAGCGTCATAGCCGATCGACGCGGCGGCGGCGCCGTCGTCGTGGGGATCTCTTGCCCGATCCATAGCATTGGTGATCTTCTTCTTTTTGCAAACGATTCGAATTAACGAACATGAACCCTCTGGTGGTAGTGCGCGCACACCGAGAGGTGACGGCCCCCACCCGCCAATGAGGGCAAAATGGTGACGCATGGGAAACTCTCTTTTACTTGATTATGCGCTGCCCACTTGGCTTTGCCGCATACGAACTAGTCGACTCGATGGACTAGGATTGTAGTAAGGTCAGGTTTGCGCGGGTATGCAAAGGACACGTTTTCTCCCTCACCCTTGTTGTCCACCTTGAATAGAGCGCCTCGATGTGAGCACCTATTATGTATTTTGACACGGCTCTTGCCTAGTTGCCTCGAGTTGAGAGCAGGTGACTGGAGAGGGGGGGCACCGGACTTGGCGAAGGCCAGGGCCTTGGTCGCGCACCCTTCTTATTTGGGTTGACGCCTGTCGTCCTCCTAGCGCGAACCCGGAGAAGTTGTACAAGTGTGTGATGCATACGGTTCCTAAGAAGGAAAGCTGGGTATTGGCAAGTCCTGGGGGAGGGAGAGCGACAGGGAGGGCCATAAGGAACCCTTTGGCGCGCATCACGAGCTGCAGACTTGTCGGTTATGGCGAGGTTGGAAGGGATCCAAGGTCTAGGCACTCTGTAGGGAATGCCGGAAGTTGGAGCTTTTGATTCATTCGGAATTTCCGTGTGAGCAGAATAATGTGCTCGTTTAATGGCGCTGGGGGGGGGGGGGGGGGTCTAGCGATGGTATAATTCCGACCGTCGCTATTTTTACTTTGACAAACGGACAGACAGACATAGTGAGACAAGTGTGCACAGCCAGCGGCGGGATTGAGCCTCTCTATCGCTGAAATGAATCATGTGGTTCTCGTCTCGCGCGCCTGCGTAATAAGGTTTTGACGCCCGATTTATCTGAACCCCTCCCCCCCCCCCAATAACGAGCGATTCCACGAGAATTCGACAGAGATGAGCGTGTATTGCGGAACCAAGAATACGGAGAGGCGGGGCGCACCGGGACCCCGAAAGAAGCACTAAATTAACGTTGGTTTGACTTGAACTAAACCAGATGGCTTGGTGGTGCGGCGCCTGTGCAAGGTCAAGGGCGGTTTTGGTTGAGGAATGTCTTATGACCAGGAATTGCCTGTCTGGAATGTGGTCGTCGTCAGCTTGAAGGCGAGCCCTCTCTACGTCTGGTCAGCGTAGGTGGTTGTGTTTTGTCTTGGATTTTTTCTTTTCTTTCATAGCTCTGGTTCTGGTTCTTCGGTTGCGGTTATGGTTAATCCCATGTCTCTGCTAGACGTGGTGGGTGGATTGGCGATGAAGGGGGAGGTCTTGGAGGTGCAACGATCGCCCGGGAGATACGTCGGCCGCCATCGCGGGGTTTTGGGGTTAGCCGGGGATATGCGTTTGCGAACGGATGTGCGTTGGAGGTTATCGTATTGGCTATCGCTATCCGCGAGTAGATGGTTTATTATCTACGGGGGGGTTGGATGGAGTCAATTTGCCGAGCCTGAGCCGCGAACAAACTTTGTGCGTCCCCTCGTGGTATGGGGCGATGCATGTGTCTTTTTGAGTTGCATCCCCCCCCTTTCTTCCTTGTCGTGTCATATATGTGTGTCTGCTGGGCGGCCGTGTATAATCTAACGCCTGCATCTGGGTAATATACTGACCGCTCTCGGCGCTTGGCAAGCGGCGCCAAATGTGGTCTTATGTGTACGCACACTGCTGTCCGTCAGTTTCTGAGGGTCGGTGGGTTGGAATGTCTTGGAGGGGTGGCTGTGCTCCGGGTTGGCAGTCTGAAATGTCTCTGCGAGTGACATGGCTGGACCGGGCCAAGCAAAAAGGCCAAGCCCAAGTAACGGAGGCCATATTGTTGTTGCCGTCGTAGGTAGCGTATATACACAGACGGAGCAGGACCTCCCTGCGCCGTGGTTGGCCTGCAGACACCATCATCGTCAGTCATCATACCGGACATGAAAGCACAAGAAAGGTTCCGTATGGACTGATGCTCGGGGGTCTTGGTGCCGCTACCTCCCCTCCCCTGTGGCCTTCTTGGTATGTGTGATTGCGCCAAGACTGGGCCGATGGGCGCCAACTGGTGGCAGATTTTAGGGTTCGGCGGAAACGAGGGAGGGGGAGTCGTATCAGCCCACTCGGGCACAGGGCGGCGGTGGCATTTTGAACTGTAGTTTTTCAGGTGGATTTGTGACTGGACTGGCATTTACTAGCGGCTACCGTTTGTGGGATAGCAGAAGTCTAATCTCCCTTTTTTTTTCTTTTTTTCTTTTTCTCTTTCTCTCTTTCTCGCCCTTACCCATGGCAGTTGCAATGTTATGATTTGTGTCTTGCGCCCGTTTTTCTAGCTACGGGAAAAATGCTTGTCCTGTTATACCAAGGTTGGGCTGATCCCCTCCCCGCCACAAAAGTAGAAACTCTTGTGGTCGCTGACGGAGATGGGAGAAAAACGTCACGACGGACGGGAGAAGGGTTTTGGTGATTAGATACAGATTATTCGCAGGCAGGCTGGAGTCAGCGGCTAGTCACAATCAAACGACCGCCTCCCCCATATACGAAAATGGCTTGATCTTGGCCAAAAGGCATTCGTAAGCGTGTACGCATAGTAGGACAGGTAGGACGTGCCCTTGGCACTGATCTAATCTCAGGCCGATGGGACATTCTGGGCATAGGCACAGACAGGCATGCACACAAGTGATGTGTAAGACTATGCACGCGCTACCTACTTACATCCAATAAGAAAAGCACCGGTCCCTATATGAGAGTCTAGTAAGCGTTACTTTGTCGACGGCTGACGATCTCGGACTCGGCGTTTATCTATTCGAGATGCATACACTATGCTGAGATATGGTCGTATTTCTTGACACGGGGATTCCCGTATTACGACAGAGGGTCGCGACGGGCTCAGCCACCAACGGACAGACCGCGCGAGCGTGCCGTTCGTTGCGAACGGCACGAGGTGATTGATAGCGGCAGTCTTTGCGGATATGGTCCGGCCAGGTCGCATCGCCATCCTCGACTACTATTCGCACATGGCACACTCACACACACACACACACACATACACACACTGTGGATACGTATACATTAGCGCGGACAGTATCACGGAAGCACGGAACCTGCAACGACACTTTATCGGCGATCGGCGCGCGGTGTCCGCTTTTCCTGCTCTGTTTTGCAGGTTCCATTTCTCTTCGGCGGGGGGGGGGATGACAGAGAGGAAAGTCGGTGACCAATCCAAGCATGAAGAACAAGGCGGACAGAGGCAAGACGTTCCGTGATCATAGGGTCCATATTGGGTACGGCACACGCAGAAGTATACATATCGAGTAGTGTACAGTTACATGACTATGTATGCGTACGAAACACCTATACTACTACTAGTACAATCAGGAAGAGGGATGGGGCCGACGGGTGGAGAAGGCTGAATCTCGGATACGGTGGTGGTGACGTTCACCTTGCGGGAAAGACGGAACGAATGATAATACAATTCGCTCTAGGGGGGGGGGGGGGGGGTGAGGTAGGAGGGGCAATAAAGGCAAAGATGCAACTCAATAGCAACGGAATGCTATACGATTACCTTCTCTAGTGGAGCTCGACGGTGGCCGCAGTGGGGACTGCTAAAGTAGGATGTACACTAGACATGCACAGATACGTACTATAGGCAGTATATCTGATGGCTTTGGGAGTGTACCAAGATGTGTGGCATGTACGGATACATACATACAAAACATACTCATCTGTAGAATAGGACAGGGATAGGGGTGGAAATGTCAAGCAAGTGGATACGTGGTGAAAAGCTGAACGGCACGACGCTATGCATGTAATGGTTTAGTACGAGCATAAATACGGATACAAATACAGTTATTTTAGGTATGTACGGTGTACAGTACGTTGTAGTTTTTTGTAATGTATAGTATATCCGTACCCATACGTGTATGCGGATACCAATGTGGGTATTTACAAGATGCACACTGGGAATACTCCGTACACAAGGTCTTTTGGCATTAGTGATGTCGTAGTGTAGCCGGTCGGTCCATTTTGACCCTTCTTCCCCCTCGGCCACCAAATGCTGCTGCCGTTGCAAGTAAGTGTCGTGAGATGCAGAGGCACTGCCCATGTTTTTAGCTTATTCCGTCTTTATTTGTTCTATTTTATTTCTTACCTCTACCCCTCTCCTCATGCCCCACCCCCTCCATTTTTCCATCACTGCACAGCCAGCCTGTTACAATGTACACCCCCACCCCCACCCACTAACCCTCAGCCGGACTTTTCCCAGCCACAAGGGATGATAGCCGACGGTCAAAAGTGAGCAGGTACGTATCTTCTCGGATACATCGGCCTCCACTCTAAAAAAGCTTGGTGCAGCGACTGTCGAAATAAGCTTGAATTTTTTTTTGTTCTTTCGAGAAGGGGGGGGAAGCGAAGGGGAGGGGAAAAAAAAATAAAAAGTTTGGAACGGAGGTACGTACCTGCACTGCTACTTGCTTGTTCCTGCCTGTGCTCCCCCTCTTCTTTCCTGCCTTTTTCTTTTGTCCTTCCTTCCTTCCTGCCTTCTGACTAGGTAGGTACCTACCTACTCGTACCTGCTGCCTTGAGAGGTAGGCATGTGTGTGTGTGTGTGTCTGCCTGAAGGATGCACTTGAGTGATGGCGATGGCTCCTTCCATTCCACGATGGATGAGAGGTACATGCCTCTCCATGCGCCTCACAAAGAGACGAAAGGTACTTTTGAGTTGGAGGGGGGGAAAAAAATCAGTCTCTCTCTCTCTCTCTCTCTTGCAGGATCCTACTGGGTAATTACGTACTACATACGTACTGTACGTACGGACTGCCTCTGCTCCATGTGTGAGGCGCCTCATCTCGTCCGATTCCATCCATTCCGTTCCATTCCATTCCCACCTCACCTCACATCGCCTCGCCTCGTCAACTCAACTCAACTGCCGCGAAAACTTAACCTCGAACCGGCGGCGCCATCCACACGTGTGCGTGTGCGGCGTTTGAAGGCCCCCATCCCATTCCGCCGTCCCAAGTCTTCGTATCCCGTGCGACCTTGATTCAGCTGGCCGAGCCACGGCCAAACCGAGCCGAATCGAATCAACGCAAACCAACCGAAACCAAACCAACCCGTCAACCTGCCAAGGCCGCGTCCGCATCGTCCACCTGCTTTTCTTTCGCTCTTGTCATCCAGTCTTGCCCATGGTGGCGGACTGCTTCCTCTCGGACGTACATGTGCGCAAATTATTTCTTGCACGACTGTCGTCTGACCGCCGAGGCCACTTGACGTCGTGCTGTACATACCTAACCTACATACACCTACCTACCTGCCACTACCGTCCGACGCTGGAACGGAACCCCGGCTTTTGACCCTCCCACCCCGACCCCCACCGTCATCCATCTCGCCGCTTGTGTACTGAGCTTTTCCCTGCCCAGCCATGGCTGATCTAGGGCGAGTTTCACCGCCGAGTAACAGTGTAAACCACAGCCCGCTGCTGCCGAGGGAACCCGAACGCGACCTAATACCAACAATTATTACCCGTCCTCCGGCGCCACTTTGTTTGGTTTCTGAATGGTCGAGGGCTGAAGCACGGCAAACGCGCCATCTGGATCAGTCGGCACCCACGCCAGACCCTGAAGGTAATCAATCCCACTCGAGCCAATCAATTCCACAGCCAGCCCGATTGAAGCTTATTCCCAAGGGTGCGCATCCCTCCCCGCTGACACACACGAGACGTAGTACGTCCCTCGCATGTCACCATTCGACCTGTTCAGTTGCCGCTGCCGCATACCCGTAACCGTATCTGCTATCCGGGGACCCGTGGCTTGCGGCCACCGGCTGATGGTGAGGTCTGGCCTGGAGCTTGCACCAATCCGAGCATGCTCGACTCGAATCAATCATACTCTACCCAATCACGATAGAGTCGTCGTCATCAGCCTCGCTAGTTCACGCCGTCTACCTTTAAAACCACCCCAAAAAAAGATTTGCCCATAGGTCGGTCTATCGTGGATGTGGAAGGACCATCGATGCTACCCTACCCGGAAAGAGAGGGAGAGAGAGAGAGTAGGTTCAACCACTACGCCAAACCAAGCTTATTCCGCGACGGCACAGCATGGGCCACAAACACACACGCAGTCTCTCTCTTCTCTCTCGTCCAAGACTCGTCCCGCTTGCTAAAAACCCAAGTTGCGCTCTTGCTCCCCCCTGGGGTCGTCCAGTGCCCCGTACATCTGCTACATACTACGGTAATAGGTTAGATCTGGACCAGGACAAACTCTTCCCATTGTGGCGGCGTGGAACAGTTGGAACTTGAGATTCTGAACAGCTCCTTCGGGTACCCCACCTCCCACATCCCGTCCACGACTCCTCGAGAAGTTGACGCAACCACGGCGGGCCCAGGGATGCGTCGACATTTTTGTTTGGCGGCCGTGTCGTTGATGGGGAGGAAGCCGTCCGCATCTTCCTGAATCTCCAATTGGTAGTAGGCCCATGCATCTCCCTCTTTGAATTTCCCGCTCGTTGATCATTGATCGTCATCTCAGTCCACGTACGGGGCTCTCCCACTGGCATCCCCTTCCCATTATCTCAAACTGCGCCCAAATGAATGGCCTTGTCATCCTTGATCGTCGTGGCCTGCACCAGCACCAAGCGTTCCAAGATAGTGGTACTTGCTGAACACCAAGCACGTCTGCCTGTCTTCAGTCGACGGTTCGTGGAGTTTGTCGAATTTGTCAACTCTGCTTGCTTGTTGCGTAGTACCGTGGATTCCCGCTGTCTGGGCTATTGATCGGCGCCGTCCTACCAACACACTCGCGCACCCGCTACAAGTGACGGAAAAAAGGGGAAAAGAAACCCCCCCCCCTCAAAAAAAAAAACCGGCAATTCAGTCGGCGTAACTTACGCCAAAGTCGAGGGCCTATCCCAGACACCTGCCCTCTCCCTCGGGTCTACCATATTGCGTAGGGATGTGTGTGGCATTGCGCGCGCTCGCCCTTTTTCCGTCCTTTGCCTCCAACCCCTGGAAGCTTGACTTGCGGCGGTAACCCTGATTAGGTATCACTCACGTATCCGTAACGGTGGGCTCCAACTGTCGCTAGATATATCCGTACATAGATAATCTACCTAGGCAGCAGCAGCAGTATAGCAAGCGCTCACAGCAGCTCTCTTTCGGCGCACCGAATCAAGCATAACGACACTGTCGCTATCGGCAGGCCGCCGCAGCCAATCTCAATCTCGACTGTCGCTCAATCCGTTCATCTCCCGTAGGTCTCAATCTTATACCCCCAAGTGCCAAGACCCCCCCCCCCCCCCCATAGACCGTTGCTAAGGCCGGGCAGGCTTTGGACGACGATCCAACACGAGACCACCGACACACAAGCATCCATCCACATGGCGCCCACAATTCGCTGCCGAGGCCGTCATAGTTGTGGCCCATTCAGTATCCATTATCCGTACACGAGAGGGAAAGAGGCAGCGTACGCATTTTTATGGTTTCAAGGAGCCTCATTACCAATCCGTATATCCGTACATTCTCCAGCCCGGCCCCATTCTTTCTGTCACAGTCGACCTTCTTCGTCGATTAGGCGCACAGTCTATACTCCGTATATGTGGTTTGAAATGGGATCCTCCAGTGACTGCGTCACCCTCTGTGTCCCCCTTGGTGTCTCCAGTGTAGCCTCATGTCCATGTCTGCTATCTTGGGGACGTTTAGGTGGCCGCGGCGACCGACCCTACAGGGGCGAGGGGGACGGACACACGCCAGGCATTGACCAAATAAATGCATCGGCGTCTCACGGCACCTTGACATGGATGGGAAAAGGAAGTTCCTTTGTTCAGGAAGTCCAGGAAGGACGCCTGTCGAGAGATGAAGACATATACACACACACGCACACGCACACACACACACACACACACACACAAACGTACACTCGGCCGACGAGACTAGCCCTGTTCATCGGGTTTGGTTGAATGCACGAGAGCTTCTCCTTTGGAAAGATTGCTCTCGATACCTTCCTTGGGCGGGCTTGATCGTCGTCCCAAGTCCCCGCGCAACTCGCCCTGTCTGCCTCCCATCATTCATGCACATCGCCTGTCTTTCCTTGGTTGGCCCCAGGTGCGACTCGGTCAATCGGCCAGCTCGGCCTCTCCTGCAGAGGCCGCTCAGGGATGGTCCAAGAGGCAATTTTAGTCGGGGAAAAAAAGGCCGTAGACTCACTCCCCTCCACACCCCCCCCCGGTCATCTTCTTCAGTGGATCGGCTGTGACGGCGCGCCAAAGGGTGACAGCAAGAGAGAGGGAGAGAGAGAGAGAGAGAGAGAGAGAGAGAGTCACAGAGAGAGAGAGAGAGAGAGAGAGGTGTGTGTGTGTGTGTGTGGTGTGTGCTCGAGCTCAGGGGAATTCCAGAAGGAATTTTGGGTCACTCGGGTGGCCTCCACTTTCTCTGGTAATCTAGGTACAGTACATAGATAGTAGACACACTAGTTTAGTATTGCCTTTACCAAGTCCCAAAGTCACCTTAATCCTGATGTCTTGGCCACACTCCTTGACACCCCATTCTTTTCCTTTTCCCCCCTTCACCCCTCCCCCATGCTCCCTTTACAACTTTCTCTCTCCCCTCCCACACACCCCCCCTATGAACTCTGCTGTACCCCTGTCTCCTTGGCTAGTCCCCCATTCCCTACCTAGTAGTAGACTGCCCTGTCGGCGAAAGCTTGGCCTGGCCGGGGTGTGCGACTGCTGCTTAGTGTGGGCTTGCGCGTGTTGTATCAGGATATATATGGTACAGGTGCTGCTCCAGCCAGTCTGACGGACGGCTTTGATCTCCATACCCGGCACGTCTCGCAAGCCTGCCACCACAAGCATAGAGCTGTCTTTCTCCATCCATCCATCCATTCATCCCTCCCTCTCGCTCTCTCGCCCACTCACTCACCCAAGCAAGCAAGTCCAACATCCAATTCACCCTCTCAGCCAAACTCTCCACCCTTTCGAAGCTTGACGTGCGACTCAATGCGACTCAACCCATCATCTCCTTAGTCCGTCGTCATTAAGCTCCTGTCATCGTCACCCGTCGCCTCCTGCGAAACCCCATCATCTCATCAACAACAACATTGCCGCCTGCCGCCGCCCTGGGCCACCGAGGGCCTTCAGAGGAGGTAACCGCCTATGCGACACCGTTTTGCGTCATCCAGCATACGTAACTACGTTTCTCGTTCCCTCTTTCTCTGTCTCTCTTTCAAGCGCTTTCATTGCTTGGTCAGCATCCCCTGACCACCACGCATCTGCCCCCCTCCCCCTCCCAGTCTTACGGCAAGAACAAACATAAACGGATTTTCTCTCCGTGTCTCTCTCTCTATCTCTCTTTCTCTTAAGCGAGTAACAAAAAAAAGAAGAAGAAAAAAAAGCTTAAACCCTCCTCGACTTTACCGCCGAGACGTCTCACCTTGGCTTGCCTTTGGGTCATCTCTTGGCGTGACAGAAGGACACCATCAGTTCTGGTCACGGGGGTTCTTTTTTAAACTACGAGCACACAAAGCTCGGCTTAACCCAAAATCCTCCCTCCCTGTCTCCTCCTCCCTCTTTATCTTCTCCCCCACCGTATTATACCGCAGATTTGCCGTCCCGTACCCACAGGGGTGGCCATCCACGCCGGCCAAGCAGCTTGTTTGGTCCAAGGCAACTTGTGCCGATTCCTATTCAAGCTATCCCTGTCTTGGGCGAACTCAGTGGGGCCGTAGTGGAGGACTCTCGGAAGGTTACTTTGGTACACACACTCTTTTCTTCCAAAGGGCGCTTTTCCTCTTAAAAAGGTTCCTTCCCATCCAAATACCTTCCTCTCGACTTTAAAGGTTCTTGGCTAGCCTCACCACCACCATCATCTATCTCCTCCATCCTTCTCCAATTCCCTTTATCCATATCTTCTTCTCCTTCTTATTCTCCTTCTTCTTCCTTCCATCTCTCCTCTTCCCTTCCACAACCCCATTCTCGTCTCACCACACATTCGTCCATCACAATGGAAACATACCACGGGTTCGTGCGGACACCCGCAGACGCCATCAAGCTCTTCGAGGCTTGCAGACTCGGCCTCTTGCCTCGTGTCCAGCGCAGACTATCAGAAAAGGAACGCCAATCTATCCGGTCGGGCTCAGTCTTCGTCTGGGACGAGCGGGAAGCGGGCATGCGGAGGTGGACCGACGGAAAGTCCTGGAGCGCCAGCAGGGTGTCGGGAAGCTTCCTGACCTATCGCGAGATGGAGGGCAAGCGTGGCAGCGGCTTCGGTGGCGGCAGACGCGGTGCCGGCAAGACCCCCGACTCGGGCCGCGGCAGCGACGAGGACCAAGAAGACGGCGAGCCCGAGGGCTACCGGTACAAGGCCGACGGCCTCATGAAGCAGTCCTTCAGCATCACCACCTCGACTGGCCAGCACCTCCACCTCATCTCGTACTACTCAAGACCGCACCCCGGATCACCAGAGCTCCAGCAACCGAGCACCGACCCGCAGCTCAGACACATCACTCCCATGAAGGGCATGTACCCGGAGTCGAGCCTCCACGACAGCAACCCTACCCCCGCCCTGACGAGAGGACCGATGCTGCAGCAGACTCCCTACGTGGCACAACAGCAACAACAACAACAACCGCAGCAACAGCCCATGCCGCCGCAGGCCTACCCTCCTCAGTACGCCCAACAGCAGGGCTACTCGTGGCCTCCATCGCCCGTCGCCACTCCTCCCTACAGCCACTACACGACTTCTCCATACCCGCCGCAGCAGCACCAACCGCAACATCAGCTGCCGCCTCCTCAGGTCTCGCACTCGCCCGCCCAGCCTCCTCACTACGCCCACGCGCCTCCTCCCCCTCCTCCTCCTCCTCACCACCTCTCTCCTTACGAGCGCGCGCCCCTACCGCCGCCGACGGCGCAGAAGCCCCTGGCCCCTTACGCCTCGCAGCACCAGTCTCCCCGTCTGGCCCACGTCCAGCAGCCCCAGCACCAGTCGCCTCGCCTGGCCTCGATCCAACAGTCGCGTGCCTCGGAGTCCCCTCGCATCTCCCATCTGCAGGCTCAGGCCGCCCAAGCCGCCCAGGCCGTCATGGACCCCAGGCTCGGCCCGCGAAACAACGGAAACACCCTGCCAGGCATCAACGCCGTCTCCAGCGCTCCCCTCAACGGCCACCCGCTCGCGCGCACCCCGCCCAACCGCACCTTGTCCGTCTCGCCACCGAGAAGCATCCACTCCGATGCTAACGGCGTCGCGCCCCTGCCCAACAAGGCCAGCCTCTCGGCGCTGCTTCTACACCCGACTCCCTCCGCCTCGGAGGCCAGCAGCGTGAACCCCAACAGTGCCAACAGCTCCCCGCGGACGGGTGGTGCCCTTGCTGGGCTTCCCCCGCCGGTTGACCGCCCGGCCAACATGAGCCACGATGTCAAGGCTCTGCAGGCTTTGGACCGCAAGTTCTGCATCTAGAAGGGGCAGCAGAGCCGAAACACAATAAGATAAGGAGGGCGGGAGCGAGTAAAAAGAAAAAGGTGGGATGGAAAGGACGTCTAACCGAAAAGACGGGCCCATGATTTGCATTATTACACAGTAGCCAGAGTTGAGCTTCTTTTGCCGTCTTTTCTATCGGTTGTTTTTGATCTTCAGCATCGCCACGGAGTTTTGGGAAACACCAATGCCTTGCCGTCTTGGCCGGCTTGGTACTTTTTTTTTTAGTGTTTTTTTTTTTTTTTTTCTTGGAATGGGCGGGATATTCAGAGATCATGTTAGATCCTGCTATCTGGTTCACGGGCGGGGAGGGGGTCAACTCGGATTTGCATCACGGTACAAAAAGGTCGTGTGACGTGGGAAGGGGTCACCGCAAGACTTGTGTGTGTTCACAACAGTCGTTACTTGTTTTTTTATCCTCAATTATTTTTTCCGTTTCTTCTCTATTACCATAGTACATAGCTTTCCTCCAAGAGATCGCCGAGTAGCCGCACTTCTGGATATCGCCGAAGCAGCGGGAATAGACTGGCAAATTTGACCCAAACAAAGACGAACAATCCCTCCCTTTGCTCATCATGTGCTATACGTGGGTACCAGCAAACGCGGGCTGCCATGAAGTTGAACTTAGTCACCGTTGCAGACCAGTTTCGAACGGGTGGTTCCCTGTAGTCCGACGGTCACAAGCGAAGACGGACGAGCTCCGGAGACAGGTCCACCACGAAAGAAAAAGAAAAAATTAAGGCAAGGCTAATCAAAGCCAGACATGGCAAGGCAAGGCAAGGCAAAAAAGACTGGAAACCCAAACTCTCGCCAGTGGGGAGGGGTCGGTTAAGCGGCGTCTTCTCTTACTCGACGAACTGACAGCGGTGTATTTCTCAGATGGGGGACTCAGGTGCAAGCTTTCCGCGACCGATTGGGTCGTAGTCGTCGCCCTCCTCCTCCTCCTTCTTCCTCTCCCCGGGGGGGTCGTACCATTCATGGGACGGAGGCCGAGAGGTCTCTGTGTACCGGGGGGGAGCACTCTGTGGGACGCACGCACGCATGGGGGGGGGGGGGGGGGGGGTTCCAGCACGGCCAGCACGGCGAGGATGATTAGCGGGATGGCGGACGTTGTGCGTGTGTGCTCTCGGGGGGACTAGGGTAGGGAGGTACATGTATGCCTACAGCGTTTACGAAGTATACGGTATGGGCAAGTTGGCCGGCCGTCCGTCCCCCCCCGTCCTCCAGCGGAATGGTTCTGCTGGTCAGGGCGCGGAAGTGTGAAGCATGGGGAGGGGGGGGAGGGTTACGGAGTCCAGTTGAGGATACATGGAGTGCGGTCGGGTCGGGTTGGTAGTGACTGAGCCGATGCGGGAGGGCGAGGCTGGATTTCCCGAAACCGACTGCCGGTAGACGCGTGGATGAAACGCCCTCGTTCGAGGGTGCGAGTTGTGTGTGTGCGCGTATGTGGGTGCGAGTGGGCATAGTAGGAGTTCGCGCAGGACAGGTAAAAGGGCTTAAACACTAACTAGTACTTGCGTGTTTGTATGGACGACGCGGACCCCGACTCCCCCCCCCCCCCCCCCCCCCAGTCGATGATGGCCAAAAGGCCCGCGGCCGCCGTTTGTCGACGGGACAGGCCTCAAGTGCGGTGGGCCAAAGTCGGCATCCTGTGGAGAGAAGTGTCATGGATGAAGTTGTCGGCGAGTTGGGCTAGATACAGGGTTCCGGGGGGTGGTTTTGTCGGATTATACGTACATGGGCCGGCTTTTCTTCCCTTTCTTGCACTTTCTTATTTCTTTTTTCTTTTTTATTGTTCCTTTTCGACACCTGCTCCTGGTATGGATCTGGATGATCTACGTTATGGGTGGAGGGGGGAAGGTCGACTCATGACTGCATATGGGGCTCTGGAGGCTAGTCTAGTCTAGTCTGGTGAGTAACGCCTGACATAATGAAGTGTATCGTTCCAAGGGGAAGAAGGGGGGGCAGTCGAACGAGATGGGAAGACTTTGTTCAGGGACTCTTGGTTGGCCAAGACCGAGGTCGTGAACCTTGACGTACGTCAGTGTCGTTGGGTTCACGGCTTAGTTTAGCCTTTTTTTCATAAAAAATATAAAAGTGGCGTGGAGCAACTGAACTACTTATTTGACTCTGCACGCGCATGCAAGAGAGAGAGAGAGAGAGAGAGAGAGAGAAAGGAGGCCTCAGAGACACAGACACAGATACACAGAGGCATAAGCAGAGAGAGCTTGTCTTGGACTCTGTCACGCCGGCAAAAGCCCGGGACCAAGGATTGATCTGTCAGGTTTCGAGTGGTAGACGTCAACGTTTAAGCGTAAGAGAAAAGCATCAATGATCGTCGTCCGGAGGGTGTGAGCGGGCTCAGGGAACATGTGCCAACACCGCATGGAAGAAGTGTTATACCACAGTGGCCCTCGGCCATACCAGACGGCCTTGGATGGGATGTTGCTTGTTGCACGGCCGTCGCCCGTACCCGAGTCCCATCACCGTCCTCTAACCGCCCACACCCCCCCCCCCCCCTTTTCCCCCCGTTCCCATCCATCGAGTACGAGGGCTTTCTTTTTTTCCCTGTTGGTAAATAGGTATTCATCGCTGGCCATCGTGGGTCACCCGGCCGCCCTCTGCAACGACGGGGGGGAGACAGATGGAGAAGGTTGGTCGCATTACGGCAAGAAGCTTATGGCATGGCTGACTGAGCTCCAAATGGATGGATGCATGTGTGACGGCTGACAAAAGCGGGAGACTTGCTACGTGCGTGGGGCCCCCGTCCCCCTTCTCCGTGCCTGTTGTCGCAGGTGAAGCAAGGCGAGTTGAGTATGACATTCTCAGTCTCTCTCGGCTTCAATGGTGTGTGTTGGACGGGAGAGGGCGAGCTTGTCTGTTCTGTCCTGTCCTGTCCTGTCCTGTCTCGTCTAGTCTTGCTCCCCACCCGCTCCCCGTTGTCAGTTGGCCAGTTCACTTGAGCTTGAACTGGTGCGCCGGAATGCGAATGCAGCGTGAGGGCGGTTACGTAGTGTGTGATAGGTGCCGGTAGTTGTGCGGTTAAACGGCATCCAAAGCCCCGGGTGGCACGACGCACACTCCCGGGACGGGAGTGCCGTTGCTTGCTCGCACGGCGAGGCGCAGCACATGAGTTTGTTCCCGATCTCTACCTTATTTCTACGCGACGCGTGCTAGCACAGATCTGGCGCGCCGTCCTTCACCCTTTCCCGGCGCACGCAGCACACTGGTATAAGCTCAACGCATCAGACATGCTTATTTTTTTTATAGCAACAACGTTGTTTTTCTCTTCTTGTCCGTCTTTCATCTGCCGTTCGTCGACTCTCCAGATCCCTACGTTGCTCGCTCTCCCTCCGTATCTGGAGGCTTGTGGAGGGTGGTGGAGGACAATGGCTCTGGATTGGTGGCATTGGTGGCTTCGTCGCCCCCGGTTCACGGCGATCCGCTGGCTGGCGACGCGCTAAGGGAGAAGAAGAATAAACTTGAAATGGGCTAGAAGCTTAGCATTCGCGATACGCGCGTGCTTAACTCTACCTTGGAACAAGGGGTGAAGGTGAGTTTACCCAATCACTGTCGAGGCGCCCGTTACGCCGATCTCTGGTCTCGCCTACATCGTTCAGAGGGGAAAGGAAAAAAACGGACGCGCAGCATCGTCACGTAGTGGACGCGATCGAGCAAGCATGCATAGTGTCAGTTTCATCGGCGATGCCTCCTGAGCATTATACGATGTACGACGTCGCCGTTCTTTCACGCACACACACACACACACACACACGCACGCCCTCCGCTCTCCCCTTCTCTGTGAGCGTACGCCCGCGGCTGGCACTGTCACGCTCCGTCGGATTTATCAGATTTCATGGTAGGGTGTACGTACTATGTAGTTCCGGTGCCAAGTCTGAGCGCCGCCATTAATCGAATAAAGGAATGAATGACGTCGGTCGCCATGGAGGAGTGTAATGGTAAAAGGGGGTGGGGGGAGGGGGTTGACGGACACGGAGTTTTGGGGCCCTCGGGACCGTCTATCTATGCTCGCTATACTCCGTATAGGCTTGCAATCTTAGTGTATCCGTACAAATACATACAATATATCGGTTACTATGTGCCAGAAGCCCACACGCATTCCCACTTTGCTTGGGGGGCAATGCTTCCAATCTTGAACGTACATTGTACATTACTATATACAAAACCCAATACTTGGATTGGAGGGGTCACGACGCCAAGACTCAACTCACAATGTTTAAGAAGGGCCGAGTCGAGTGCTGGACTAGACTATACTTTCGGCCAGGACGAGAAAGTGACTTTGATGGTGCGTGCGGTTGCATTCCGCGAGATGACGAAGCAGGGCGCTAGTCGCCGAGGAGATTCTTGTCGGTGCTCACGCAACGCAAGCGTGCCCTTCCGCTGGGTCACAAACATCCAAGCTGCCACAACCCGACGATCTCGTTCTTTCCTCGCATTTCCCAGTGGGACTCTGCCAGGTGGTGGTGGTGGTGCTCGCGGCAAAGGAGGCGGGCGGGCGGCGGGGGCCACGGCTCCCGGTCCTCTACGAATACTCAAAACGCCAACGAGGCAGGCCTTGACGAGCGGTGGCGGCCCTGGTGGATAAAACGCCCTGGGGTAAAGTTGCTTCAAGGGGTCTTGGCCCGCCGGGGCTAATAGAACAAACCTGCAATGTTTGGCAGGATTAGGAGATTTAGGATGGCTTGGCAGCAATGGCGTGTCGCGAAAACCTGCTTTGGGACGAAGGGGGATGGATTAACCTCGCCCAAGGTGCTATTCCTGTCGTGGTCTCTTCCCTGCAGGTTTGTGTTTCTACTGCGTAGAGTTTCCGGGCTTCCAGTGGTTGACTGGTCGACAACCCGGGAGTTGCTCGACACATCTCCTCTTGGATTGGCTACCAGATTACCCCGGGCGATCCGTCATCTGTGCAATCTCACGAGGTCGAGAACTTCTCCCGTCACGCCGACCACTCAGATGCCTGTCAAGTCAGCGCCGTTTGGATGCCAAGACTCGATATGCAGTTTCATCTCCTTTGACGGGCGAACCTACTTGGCGCTTTTCCCCTTTGGAGGTATTCACACAGCCCGCCACGAAATGTAAGCGTATCATCGATCCACAGCGTCCTCTTTGAAATAGCGTACGAGTAATTGGCAATGAACCGGGCGAGGAGGCTTCGGGTACCGTGGCTGAGCAGTACTCGACGCCCGATTGACATTATCCTCTCTGAAGGTTCTGGGTGCGCCCCATCGTCGTCGTCGTCGTCGTCCTCATCAGCTGCACGTCGAGTAAGCAAGCGCAGTGGAGCGCAGGGAAAAGAGACCCAGGACAAGGTCGAAAGGTCGAAAGAGGACACGATATCGTTCACGACTCTCATTTCGGCGCCGGCACGCGAGTGGACATCATTCCACAACCGGCTTCACGCCCGAGGCACCGTTCACGATCAAAAACCTCGGCGGGTTTGGAGAAACGCTGGCAATAAGAAAGCTGGGCCCGCGGGCGCAAAGCGACCCATGCTGCGGATGACCGGCGGAATGGTACACGCAAGCTCGACAGGCTCGGCAGGGCTCCTCGAGTTTAACACGACAGCCAGCGGCAAGGTGACCTGGATCGTTTGAATGGCGTACGCATCGTCTGGCTGATTCAGTGGACGGCATCCGGTCAAACCCAGCAGTCCTTGCCGACTCTGGGCTCCGCTAAAGAAGCGTAAACGGTCAAAGGTCCCAATGGCATGGGTTGGATCCAGCGTGAGGGAAACACCTAGAAGGCAGTTTGTGCCGAGGGGTGGAAGGGGGGAGGGATGCAGTTAGTTTCGGTCCCCCTGTCCGCGTGGTCCCATTCTCCAAGTCCTCGGTCGATGTATCGACAGTGACGAGGGAAAATCGTCCGGCGAAACCCTCTCGAGTCACTTTGCAACTTCGCTACTTTCCCGTCATGGCTCTTGACATGCCTGCTCGCGAGATTTGATCGAATCGAATGGACCATGTCCATGTCGCCCCTCAGGCCATGATGAGCTCTGCCAGGGGTTTGAAATGGCTAAACAAGTCAGGTCCTAGGGGGGGGAGGGGGCCGATTAAGGAGATCCTCCTCCAAACAGGGATGCGAACAATTCTCATCTGTTCGTATAACCTCCCAATCCCACCTGAATGACACTCGGGTCGAATTACTCTGTACATAGGACACAACTATATTGGCCCACGAAGGGGGCGAGGCCGAAAACGGTCACTGCACCGGGATTTTGTGGCCTTTTCCTGACGGTGAAGCGGGAACGTAATATCCACCCTTTCCACAAGTACAGTAAGCGGCCCTGGTCATGGAACAGAAGCAGCAGGGAAACGGCCGGACCAATGTTTGGGTGTATGAACGACCACTCTCTTCGATACTTGGAGCCTCTGCCCGGGCAGTCCAAACGCTCTCGCAGAGCGGCGATACGGACTTGTTGGGGCCGTTAGGGGCACGTACGGGAGGGTGGGGGTGGGTACCAGCATGGCTCGGTCACGGCCATGATGGCCGAGCTCGTCGCTCTGTGACAATGCGGCGTCACGTATACAGTACGCGCGTCTTGGAGGCACATACATCACGCGCGCCAGGCAACGGGTCCTGGTGCCGTGGCAGCCCTGACAGCCAGCCAAAGATTCGAATCAACCCGCCTGTAAAGGCCCAGCTTTGGGCCCCATTGCATTGCGTACTCTTCTTTTCTTCTCCTATATACCCAGGGAACGAGGTGTAACATGCAGGTGTTTTGCCTCCGCCTCGCCAAAGCCGACGACTGATGGCCTACGCCCACGCCTCAAGTCACGGACATGATTCGGTCCCTATCACTGGGAGTGGCCACCCCAAGCTGGAAGCTGGCGGTCTTGGTTGGAGCGCCGCGTGTGTTATCCGAACGGCATGATTTCGCGAACCTAAAACCTTAAACGCGGGAGACTAAGGGGAAATTATGAGAGCTAATAATAGGGGGGGCATGTCTAGACGAGACAGTTAAGGTGCAGCTGCACTGGCGGCAAGCGGCTTGCGTTGTGGCCGTTGGGCCGCCAAGAGAGTTTGGTGCTCCTCTTGCTATTGGGCCGAAGAGGGCAGGGATAAGAGAAAGAAGGTAAAACGGTTTAAGGTGGTTTGGCTCAGTCTCTGTCCTGAGAGGCGAGGGGGGCGGTGGCAGAGATGGGACGGGGTGGCGGAGGGTTTCCTGAGACGACCGTTGCTCGGCACTAACTTCCAATATGACCCGAGATTTGGGACCAAATTCACGAGGGATGTTCGGTGCGAGTGCGCCGAAGGTGGAGAGGCGCAGACCATTCTTGAGGTTAATCTTGGTGCGTCTAAACCAAGCTTTCGACTCGCCGGTTTATAGTTTGCGCGAACCAATAGCTTGATTCGCGAGACGTTTGTTTCGTCCTAATATTTCCCTCGCGGAGGAGCTCAATGCCGCCTGGCTCGCGTGCGGGAAAAAGCGTACCGCGCAACGTTTTTCTTCGTCCAAATCTTCCGAGTCAAAGGGAGACTTTACTGTCTCGGTGCATTTCCTGTTGGGGAAATAGCTATGTACTGTAGGTTCCCGCCAAGGTTAAGCTCTTGGTTATTCTGGCAGGCCTCGTCATCCACCTTGCAGTCACGGACGGGCGGCGGTCCATCCTTCGAGGTTACAGTCAAGGTGTTCAAAAAGAAAAAGAAAAAAGGGCGAGAAAGTATAACCCTAATGTGGGTGGCTGAAGAAGAAAGGTAATGGAAAATAAGGAATAAGCGCAACAAACCGGCGAATCCTTCGCGGAAACTGTAGTCAAGAGTTTTACCGGCGTTCGCGAGCTAGACGAACCTGTCCGAGCCTGGTGTCATAACTCTTAAAACGTTTAGCTTGGCATATCCGAGCTACCGGGTAGTCAGGTCTTTTCTTTCTTTGTCTTCTTTCTTCTTGGCAACGTGAAGCTTCGGTGCGAGCGAAGCAGCGGCGATCCCATGCACGCCTACGATCTCGGTATTCGCCAACGGCAGAAACAGATCAACGTCCTCCAATGCTACTCGGTGGAGGTTCTTGGCAGGTCGCAACCACGTCTGGTGATATACAGGCAGTCCTTGGCGAATAGCGTACCAAGCCTAGGGGATGCCTTGTTGTGAATATGCTTGATCTGCCATAACCACCTGTACCGACCTATGAGAGCCGTAATCACGACTCTTGTCCCATTCCTTGCGCAGTTCTTCCAGCCCCGTGATTCCTTTAGGTTACAACTCTACGGCCAGATACCCATGCCCTGATGCTGGACAGTCTGGGGTTGGAAAACTTAGATAGAAGCGAAGCACATTCACTTTGTGTTTAATTACCTAGTGGTATTGATCAACTGGGACACTAATATGTCACCATAAGCTTTTCCATGACTAAGACTCGGCAATGCTTTTGAGTTTGACAAGATGCAATTCCACCAGCGAGCTAAAATGCTTAAGGGTACGGCTTTACTATCGTTCCGGGCGTGTTAACTATGACACGTCAACCAAACTAAAGTTGTTAGCCAAAAAAAAAAACGTTTATTATAGACGCCAAGGGACTAAAGCAATGATATCATGAGAGGCATCATTTGACTTCAAGGGTCCAAATCTTGTCTGTATCTGCAATGTTGGCCCTGGAATGCTAGCCGGCAAGTCAAGCACAGGACCCAGGCCTGAAACTTCTTTGCGTCCTTGACGACGGAAACGGACCAATCCCCGACATAATGGGGTTGTCCGTTTGATTGATGCACAATTCCCTCATCTGGGCACTCGCCCGCTACAGCAATTATGGGAAACTATTGGGGCGTTGCCCCGCAGCTCAGTGAACCCAGTCGTCCCAAAAATACCGAAGCACTGGCTGGGATCGTGATCATGGGTTCCGGCGTTCCAATTAGTGACTGACATCAAAGGCTTGGCCTCTCATTAGAATAAGCAAGTGCAGGCTTCTGTAACAAAGGAGGCAGGAGTTGGCGAGCTGTCTGTTGCATGCAGATCAAACCGATCTGTGGACTTGGCCGACTTGAGACGAGATGGTCTGCAACTTGACACGGAGATCGCCCGTTAAAGCTTGCCGCGATCAAAGCAAAAGATAGCGACGTAGGACCGGCAGGATATCCACCTTTAAACTGGAGCAGATGGTATCACCGGGAGAAATTCGCATTCGAACTGGAACAGATAGTATCGCCACCCTGTAGCGTAAAGCATGGTTATGTCTAGCTTCACGGTGAGGTGGAAATAAGTTCTGGTCGGGGGGGTGGGCGCAGACTAAGAGGCTACAGGCTTACTGTGACCCTCGAATTTCCTTCAGTCTGTCGCCACTGTTCATCGAAGTAACTGCCTACGGGCCCTGGCTCTGGGGTTTGCTCTTATTAACCTATCGGATGCTCAGGGGCATGTTAAGGGGCATCGTTAGGAACGGCAGCGGTACGGTCTAAAATCTACTTCTCCTATGTACACTGACGTCCCCTTACGATGAATCATGGGGCTTGATGGATATCTTTTTGCGTCACTAGCAGCCCGTCATTCACATTGACAGTAGTCCTCTCCCCGGTGCAGGAGTGAGGTTGAAGTGTAGGCAAACAAAACGTCGATGATAACCACACTTGATGAACCAATACCAATACATCTAGGGGTTAGCGCTGGTGATTTGATAGTAATTGACACTTGATCGTGATCTCCGGTGCTTCGACTGCTATTTGTCTAGGATGAAGCTATTGTCGACCGATAGCGGATTTTATGTTAATCATTATATGGTGTAACAATAAGCTTAATCAATATTTCAAATTGCTTGGCTTAGCAACTCAATTTTTTTTAACACCATTGTTTGACAACAGATTCTAATGCTGGGACTGTCGGGTTTAGAGCCTGGCTCCTCAAGTTTCATTATCCAATGAGGGAGCCCATCATCATGTTCTTTGTAGATCCATGTGCCATTTGCCGTCTGAGGATTCAATTATGGCTGTTCTTTACTGGGACCATATCACCAGCTATCCCAGAACCACTTGCTCGCTTTTGCAGGTTTCACCGATGACTTCGTCCGTAAACGGATACTCACGACACTGCAGGTTTCCGGTGACCCTGCGAGTGATTTATATGCGTTTCATTTTTTATTTTTATTCTTTCAAGGCCAAGCACGCATCCTTATTCTTATTTTTCTTTATGGCACAAATCCCAATCGCTAGACAGCTCCAGCAGTACTCGGCACCATGTTCTATTAGCAGTGAGATCAGAAATGTCTGTGGGTTTCACCTTGTCATTTCCCATTAACCACGAGTGGATGGCAATGAAACCATCACCATGGTCTTCACCTTCATCTGCCTGCTCTTGCTCTGACACACCTCCGTCCAGGCTGGCAGTATATGTCTCACTATTGATACGAGGGCATTTGCTATGCCCTGAAAAGATGGCCAGCGTGTCGTTTCTGACCAGATACTTTATAAATACCGGCCTCGCTGCTCACCGCTTCTTTAGCCCGGGGCAATAGGAGACGGTCTCTATGGTGACCATTGTCGGTGCCTTTAACCTTACTGCCACCCCATCTTCTCCTGTCTACATCATCTTCGTGCATGACAATGTCCAGGGATGGCTCTACCCCGATGACAAGGGTGATGATTAGAATGGTGATGTTGTGTCCGTTGTAGAGGTGAACAGCTAGCAGTCCACTAGGGCTCAGTGCAATGGATGGTCAGGGCATGACCGGGACCGAGGTGACCAGATACTTCGGACTCGTCTTGTGAGATGGGATAGATATATGCACTAATATTATATACCGAAAGCAATTCGGGCTCGTTGGCCAACGAGACGCCCCTTCTGGTTATTTTGACGGTATCGAGCGACGGGATATTCTGCTGCAAGCAACGCAAGCGAGTATCGGCCCGAAGCCGGGGAGTTTCCGCATGAGAAGCCGTTGGTGCTTTCGCGGGAAGCAGCATCAGCCTCGATGCTCGACAGCACCTTCGCTATGGAGGCGGCCTGTCGCAGCTGGAAATCGGTACTCGAACTGTCCACCTCCATGATGAGGTCGATGGCTTCATCGACTAACGCTCCATCACATAGTCTTTGATGGGCGAGGCAGTCTGCGACGTCTGCGCTGCGGTTTCGTCTCTCGATGTGGGTCATGAATAGGAATCCAAACCACAACATCCAAGAAGGACGCGAAGTTTGAGGGCGTTCGTCCGTCTTGCAGACCCGCCTGCAAATCAACCATTATAATCTCCTAATTCGTCTCCATGTACCGTATATTCTATGCCCAAATTAGCGAGACGCACTCGGATTGCAATCAAGGCTGCCTACGTGAACTCGGGCCGCTAACCGTTGAGTCGCTACACCAGATATACGTGTACTGACGAAGCAGCGTTCTGCTACCGGAGCGTTAGTTCTCAGTCTTCACAGCATCATTGGGGTTACGCTCGTGAACGCTTGCGGCACCTTTTGTGGCATCTGGTCGATGTTCTTCGTAAGCTTATAGGCACGAGACTTGAACGCGCTATCATTTCGAGCTGAGATACTGCCTATTACTTGACCGTAAATGTGTTGAAGACATTCACAAGGACATCCCTTAGGAAGGAGGTCGACCATCGCTGTAGTCGAGCTTTCGCAAGTCATGGCAGGCAGGCCGAGCATGAGCGCCAAATATCTGCCGTGACACACCAGGCTGTGTCGCATGACTGACTGGGACACTTTGGGTTGGGAGTTGACGATGATAAGGGTTAAACCGCATGACCACGATGCAGCCCCAACTGCTGTGCAAGATCTATGGCCCGCCTCAGCACAAGCCAGGGGCTTAGCAGCTTGCCGGCGTTGATGTAATAGGCAGTCTTTGTGATCTGGAACTCGAGGCCTTCCTGTGAGCCACTGAGCTGCTCATTTTCCGTCACTCGTACTGCACCACGGAGGCATGTCTTTTGGGCTGCCGATGTGGATTGACCGAGACTTGACTTGTGTGCGTCGAGAGTGGAAGAGTGAAGTCTCTGGAAGCACTTGCGAGATATCAAAATATTCTGACCAGAGATACCGGACGGGTTGTTGGACTGGGCAAGGCAGATGGACATGGCAGTAGCTTGGAAGAAGAGGTCTTGCCAGGACAGGGTGGAGGATTGCAAGAAAGCGACTGTATGACCAGCGGAGATAATTGTGACAGCATCTAAATGATATCAAAGAGAATTGTGAAGCTTCTACTAAAGCTTTTTATCATTGTCTGCATGCTCACTGGCAGTTTCGGAGCATCTCCCGGGTAGACTTGGTCTGCCATACTTCGAGCTTAATAGCTGGTTACCGTAGTTCTCGTCTCCTCTATCAGATACTCAGCCCTCGCAGTTAAGCCAAAAGCAACGTTCGCCATCTTTTCAAATAGAATCTCAGCCCTGCGCAGTCTTTCCTCTGTCTCTTGCCGTTTCTCCATGGCGATATCTTCGTCGGCGTCGTCATACTCCTAAGCTATGCTCGCCGAGCCACGGCGTAGGCAACCAATGCAGACATCATTGGACTTGTGCGAGGACTGGCACTGGACCTTCCGCTTCCTGACAAATCGCCGTCTATTCATGAGTATCGTTTCTCACTCTGAACTAGTGTGACTGTGCCGAGCACCCCCACCAGCTGGTCTTTCCTTTCCGAATCCTCCTCTATTCCGGCGCAGGCTCACTGGGGGAGATTTGGGCTATTTTGGTTGGTCCTCGACCTGGCTTGACTATACCTTCAACGGGGAACAATTGAGGAACTACAAAAGGAAGATAACCACCCTTTGCGCGAGCCCTTGTAACTGAAATACTGGCATAATCGTATCGATAGGTGAGAATGGTTCGAATCCCCCAAGCTCGACTTGGCTCTACTCACCCCAGTAATAGTGCAGAAGTAAGCAAAGTGGTACCTATAGCGACGATCCAGCATGTTGGTCTTACCGATACACAACTAATACAATGTTGCGGCCTTCCAGTCTTGGTCATATCAAATCCGTCCGAGCTGCAACAATGCTGTGCGACATGCGTGGGACCGCATTCCCTGATCGCTTGGCTCATGCAGCACGTAATCTCAGGCTGTCTTGAAGAACTTGCATTGGAACGTTCACCGTCCGAAGGTGAGATGCGTTCTCTAACTGGGTATCTCGCGAGTGGGGTGTTTCTTCGTTCCGTTTCTCATTTCTATAGCCCCCAAGCTTTAATCTCCCCATGCGCCATCTCTCCCCTCACCTCAGCATCCTCATACTCAGATGGTGTACCGATAACGCGGGCTATCATCACCCAGCTCGGCCATTTCGTCATCCGAAAGGTCGGCGTGCTTGCTCTGGATGTGACCGGCCTCGCGCTGCTTGTTCTCCCGCCAGTACCAAAACCACATGAAGCCATAAAGGCATGTGGCCATGCCGACCATACTCAGCGTCACCGCATGGCCACGGATGTACCTGGGCCTGTCGATCGCTTGGCTGTGCCCTTCGGTTAGCTATACGTGTCCGAGACGAGCCGCGAGGGTAAAGAGGTAAAACTTACTAGATGAAGGATGACATGACACCAGAGCAGTTGCCGATTGTCAGCTGCATACCGCTAGCGGTCGTCCGCTTCCCGTATCTCGGGCAATTGTTTGGCAACTGGATCAAAACCGTTGTTAGGACATCCGCGACACCTTGCGAGCCAAAAAGACAGCAAACTCACCCAAGCCAACGGCAACCCGACGACGACGTACAGCCCCGCCGCCACGAGGAAACACCCAAAGTAGTGAGCCCCGTTCGACGCCGGAGAGATGAGCACACCGTAGCCGATGGCGCTGATGCCGCCGAAAATCACGCAAAACAGGCCACGCTTCTGCATGCGGTCCGAGAGGAAGGCCATGCTCATGTAGACCACGGCGCCGAGGAAGTAGCATGGCACGGTCAGCAGCTGGACCTGCGCCGGCGTCCATTTCCCGAGGCCGTTGATGATGGTCGGGAGGAACGTCGAGAAGCCTGGTCGTGGTCAGCAAACAACCGTCTTGCCCACAGTTTCCTCGGCCCGCAAAGACTCACCGTAAAGCATTGTGTCGGCGCCAAACTGCGCGACGCTAAAGACCCAGACCTTCCAGTCCTTGAACGCCTTGAACATGTCCTCCCTGCTGAACTCCTGCGCGCTGCTCGTGTTGCCATACTCCCGCCCCCTCCGCCTCGCCATGATAGCCTTTTCCTCGTCCGTCAAAAAGTACGCGGTCCCTGCGTCGTTAGGCAGCGCGAAATACGTCACCGCCCCGATGATGACCGTCGGGAGGCCTTCGATGATCATGATCCAGCGCCATCCGCTCATCCCGGCCACACCCTCCATGTGGCCGATGCCGTAGGCCAGCAGGCCACCCAGCCCGCCGGCGATGGCGGCGCTGACAAATAGGTAGCCCACGCGCAGAGCGAGCTCGTGCTTGCTGTAGAAAAAGGTGAGGTAGACGTTGAGGCCGGGAAAGAGGCCGGCCTCGACGACGCCGAGGAGCAAGCGACAGGCGATCAGGGCACCGTACGAGTTGACGAGGCCGGTGAGGGTGGCGATGATGCCCCAGGAAACGGTGATGAAGGCGATCCAGCGGCACGGGGTAAAGAGCTTAAGGACGAGGTTAGAGGGAACCTCGAAGACGATGTATGTAACGAATAGAATCGAGACCGCGACCTGGAATTGGTTGCCCTGCAAGTCGAGGTCGCGTTCGAGGTTGTAGAGGCGGGCGTTGCCGATGTTGACGCTGGGGGGTGTTAGTATGGAACAACAGATTCTTTAGAAGTGGAGGAGGATAGCCTCACCGGTCGAGGAAACTGAAGAGGTAGAGGAGCATCACGAGCGGGATGATATGCATGTCTAGTTTCCGGACGATCTTCTTCTCGGCGGCGGCGTCGACGGGATCGGGGTCACGGGCCGCCATGTCTGGGGAGCTTACGCCGGGACTGAGGCCGGCGCCGGCTTCGTCGAGCATTTCCTTCTTAGAGGCGTCCATGATGTTGGCGGCGCCGCTGACACGGCGGGATGCTGGAGTTGTGAGGTCTACAACACCGTCGTAATGAACCCCGAGTTGATTGAGATGGGCCGGATTATGATTGTTGTGCCTGAGAGAGAAGGGCAAGTGAGCACCGACGAGGCAAAGTCGGCCAGCTTCAATTGAAGGCTAACGCAGCTTGAAGATTTGCCAATTGAACACAACTCCCCCGAGACCCCTCTTCACGATCCTAGACGATCTTGAAGACGATGAGGCCGGGTAATATAAGTTGCTATTGAGATTGCGGGTGTAGCGTTTCGCAGGCGGGACGCACGACGCTAAGAGTTTTTTTTTCTCTCTCTCTCTCTCGTTCCGGGTACTCTCGCCACTCCGATTCCTGCGTCGGCGGGGCCGGGAAACGACAATGGCACGATGCTGGACAAGTACTCCGTAGTAGTTATGGGGTTGGCCTGGCCTGAAAAGCTTGTGGCTGGGGCCCCCAAAAACAAGACAAATTAAGACAGAAGACGCTTGTGTGAGTCAAGGAGAAGCTAACGAGCAGTCAAGGTGAAAGATCGAGGGTTGAGGCTGCAAGGAGTTGAGTTGATGCGACAAAGAGACGGGAAAATATGTCTTACTTAGGTAACGACATGTGGGAGAGACTCGCAGGGAACGGGAACACAACGGCCCTTCTCACCCCTCCCCCACGGCGGCGGGACCCTTTCTCGAGGGAGAATACAGAATCTGCAGATAAGAACCCCCCTCCAGAGTCTGGAAAGATTCGGGGATGCTAAGACTCAAGCTGCAGGGTGGTTGGACTTTGCACACTCGTTAACGTGCGGCCATTGCATCCAATTCGCTCGCGTCGTAGGAGATACCCGACATGGTACCGCCGCCCGGCGTGGGCGTCCGCGAGCTGTACACCCTCCGCAGGTTCCAGAGACGGCACTTATCTTTGTTTCTCAGGACCATGGAGCGGCCATGTTGCAGTTGTAGTCTTGGCTGACATCGGGACGAATCTTGGACAGTGTTATCGTCAGGGATGGTATCCCCGGAGCTGCAGCTGGCAGACATAAGATGCTGGGCGCTTCTGAAGCGTCTCGCTTGCTGATAAGAGTCGAGTTTGTAATCATCAAGGGTCCCATTCAGTCACAGATCAATCATCGGGGGCTGCGAAATGTAGAGGACGACCTTCAATGCTTGTTGGCCTCGTTCCGGTGACGCCATTGAGTTCGGGCAACGGGGCCAGCACATCAGAAGCTCGGAACCGCGGTTTCCAGGGTAGAGGCGGTATGGTAGCATCGCTAGCGATCCGTACCTCAGAGTTTTAATGACGGCGCCGGTGATCCTCGAAGGGTTGCAATGAAATCGGAGGTTTTAGACTGGCAGTTCGACAAGGCTTCCAAATGAAAAGGCTATTTAACAAGAGTCGGGGTGAACAAACGGTCCCTGCCGTTGCCCGAGCTCCATCGCCGAAGGTGGAACATAACTGTGCGTGGTAATGCCTCATCTTACACCCATACAGAAATTGCAACTTAACATTTCCTTCTCTACTACTGCCACTGCCGATCTCTCTCTCTCTCTCTCTCTCTCTCTCGTTTTGCGTTTCACTCAAGAAAGCAGTGCCGATACACAATGCGTCATGAGACATTGCAATCTTCCACAGCGTGCGCCTTGTCACCAACTGCAAGCAGCCCAGCAAACGCCGAATCCTTCGTCGAGGTACGTTCTGGCAACGGAGATGCTAGAAATGCGCAACAGCTTTTATTCATGGCGCCTCGGGGGCACCGTTTTGACGCCCGTACGGCCCCGGTGTGCAGCCAAGTCCGGCGCGCGCAACTTCTGACATTGCATGCAGACTTGTGCTGGTTTTCTCGGATTCGCCACATAACATCGCATGGTTGACCAACTTTTGCTGATTTCATTTCGTACACATTACGAAGATTATCTGCCGGAAGGACTATCTCGCCCAGGCAGTTGTGTTTTCTACCTCTTCTTACTGGCTATACGATGCCGGCCTGCCCGCTCATCCGCGGGACCTGAAGCTCCATGTAACGCTTTCTAGAAATGTCGAGGTAAATGATTCCTCCTTACTCCATACCTATGATCATAAGCGCAGTTTTCCACATCTTCTCCTTCCTCACTACACGCATGCGACAAAAAGAAATTATGGCATTACCGATACCTCTCAGTGGGCATCTCATACATGTCCGGGACCGGGCCCGAGTTATATGGCCTCCCCGCCGCCGGCGTGTGTTGCAACGGCTGCTGCGGCCTCGGCTCCGAGTCGCCTATCTCTACGACCTCGTCGCCGCCCATCTCGGCAGGCATGACCCTCGTTCCGCCGAACTCCTGCGCGCCGCCCGTCGGGGGCCTGCCGTACGACGCCGTCTGGTTCGAGAGCGGGCTGACGCTCTGCGATGGAGGCGAGAGTTGGTGCTTCGGCACCGGCTGCCGTCTCATGGCGCCCGCTCCGGCACCGCGGAATCCGGCGCCCGTCTCGGACATGCCCGTCGGCTCGTGCAGGGGCGAGGGACCGTTGGGGTCGTAGGCGCGCATGTCGTCGAGGTCGGAACGACTGGGGCGGTTCGCCTTGCGGCGCTTGTAGGCCCACCACCCGATGGCGAGGAGGGCAGCGAGACCGACGATGCCGACGCCCACGCCGATACCTGCCTGTGCGCCGGTGGACAGGCCGCCGGAACCGCCGCCGCCGCTCGTGTTCTGCGCGCCGCTGGACCCCGTGGGTGTGCTGATGATGCCACTAGTGGGGCCGGTGTCGACGGTGGTGGGCGCAGCGGTGTCGATGGAGGTGGAGGTGACCGTCAGGGTAGACTGGACGGTGATGGTCGTCTGAGCGTTGTTGAACTGGGTCGAGGTGAGGACGGAGGTGAAGACGGTGTTGGAGGTGGTGGTGAAGACGACGGTGCTGGTACGGGTGTCGAGGACGGTAGAGACTCCCGCGGCCGTGCCGGCGACGGTGACGACTACGGTGACGAGGGCACGCTTCTCGACGAGGGCGCGCCTGCGGTAGTCGTCCGCGGCTGGTGTGATCTGGGCCGGCGGGACGGGGGCGTCGAGGGGGAGGACCTCGAGGCTTCGCTTGGCAAGGACGGTCGAGGTGACGTAGTTGGTGACCGTGGCGGTCGCGACGTCGCTGCTGGTCACGGTCGTGGTCTGGAAGCTCGTCGACGTGACGAGGATGGTGGTGGTGATGGTGCGAAGGACGACGGTGGTCGCGGTCGTCGTGCGGCCGCCGCCCCCGTCGCCAACCGTCGTGGTTATCGTGACGGTGGTGGTGGCCTCCTGCTCGGATGCCGTGCTCGCTGTCGCCGGCGTCGTCGATTCTCCTGTCGGAGTCGGGGTCGGGGTCGGGGTCGGGGTTGGTGTGACGCCGGTGCCCCCCTGCCGCGGGCGGAGGACAGGCATGGGCCTGCTATCATTGTTGGCGATGGGGGTGGCTGTTGTGAGGGTAGCGATGGCGCTCCAGAGCAGGGCCGTGAGGCCGGCCGATCCGAGGCGCATTGTCGGCGATGAGGTCGCACCCTACAAGCTACGAAACGTTGGAAACCAGGACGGCGGCGGTATTAGATGTGCCCACGATGATGATGCTGGGGAGGCGAGGCTGCGGGTGTACGGGGAGAAGGGGGATTCGGTGTAAACCTTCTGGTCTGGTGGGAGGTGGGAAGAGACCGGGGTATTGAGGGAATTTGAAGGATGCAGCCCGGGTGTTATGAGCCGAGAACTGAGAATGTGCGAGTGATTTGCGTATTGTGCCACCGCGGCGAAACACAACGGAACGGATTGGGAGCTCGCACAGTCGCAAAATTGGGCAACGGTACGAGCAGAGACGTCGATCACTGCACAAGAGTAAGGGCAGAGAGAGAAAGGAGGGAGGGGAAGACGGAAAGGATAACGGTAGGTAAGAGAGAGGAGGAGGAGGAGGAGGCTGGCCAGGTTAATTACGAGAAACGAGGAAAGGAGGGCTAGCTGGGCTTGGAGGTGGATGGAGAGGGTGCAGGAAGATGGGCATCAGACTGGATCGATGGATACGGATCGGATTGGATTGGCATTGCAGATCCGTTGATGTTACTGCTACCGGGTGCTTGTCTGCCTGTCTATCCTGTCTCCCTCTCGAATCCATGACCACGACCGCACGGCACGGCCATGATGACCATGCAAAGATTGCAAGGTGTAGTAAGTAGATGCACCAATCTGCATACAACAAGACACCATGCAGAATCGGTCGAGTCTAGCGTCCCAACCGACGGGTGCTAAGAGGAAAGCCACTCGTAATAGCATGCCCAGTTCGTTCGAGGTGGCGCGGCAACTGCTTTTTTTTTTTTTCCCTCTCTATCTTTTCCTTTTCTGTAATGGACCCTCGCTCACATGGCGTGGATGGATGGATATTCCCCCTCCTCTCGGCTCGACCGGTGAACTTCAGCTCCGTGTCTAGGGAGCTTTTGGCTCCAGTTCTTTTCTCTTGCTGCCTATTCATACAGGGTATGTCCACAGACGAAGACTGGGGGGACGATGTCGACAGGTACTAGTATAGATAGGGAATACCTAGAGGAATACGGAGTAATGGAACTAGTGTGGCGTACCAAAAGAGTGGACAGGAGGGGGGCCGTCAAGCAATTAGTGTAAACGCCCTTGTCTAGAGGCAGACGGCCGAATCCAACTTACCCTGGGAACACACGCGCAAAACCAACGAGCGTTACCCAAAAGAACGAAAAAAAGAGAGGGAGAAACCCATGCTTAATCGAGACTTGGGAAACACACAAGGGTACAATTGCAGGGGCAAAAGCACCAAAAGGGGACTGACATGGCACATGGCGGTAGAGCGTTAACAGGGAGACCCGGCTGTCCGATGCAAATCCATTCATTCCATGGCAGCCAGTGACAACTCTGACAGTGAACATTGACGGGGGGGCCCCTCCACGCCATCCGAACGTTGCCCTGCTTTAGTGGGATGATGTGCGCCGCGTCCTGGGTCTCGTGCCGATGATTTGCTTTGCTGGCGGAGCCGGGGAGACAGCTGGCACCCCTCCAGCACCAATTGACAGTTGACAACGGCAAATGATGCCGGGCAGGCGGTGGCTGGTTTCTCGCATCATGGCATGGTTCGTCTGCCTACCTATTGATTCGGGGTGGCTGGCTTTTCTTCCAGATATGCCCTTGGACCCTTGAACCTGGGGATGAGAGCATGGACCGGAGGCGCGGTGCGCGGAACCCCTCTTGAGCAAAAGTTCGGGTGAAGACTGGAAGGATATGTAGCAAGCCGGCACGCTGGAAACAACTGCCCGATGAGGCCGATGAGTGTGGAATTCCATCAGACACGCGGGATGACGGTGTATCAGGAGGCAAACACGACGAGGAGAAACGGACGGCCCGTCCACCCCGGGGAGAAAGGGTCTTGTGACCGGACTGGCTGGCGAATTTCCCTCCCCAGTCGACTCCTATCGCCTGGGTCCCCCCCCTTTTCTTTCCCGTCGCGTGGGTGAGTGAGAAAAGCGTGGACAGCATACGACGGCTGAGTAACCAAGATGTGCCATGGCCGCCTCCGGAGAAGGAAGCATCGTCTAGCTGCGGTGGCGGGGAGGCCTCGTCGATTATGCGTAAGCTACGATTCGAGGCCATCGTCGCGAACGAGGAACTTTTCGATGATAAGACGTACTAGCCTCCAGCGTCCTCGCTTGACATTCGGTCCGGGCTGGGGCAAGACAAGTGATCCTTGCCCCGGCCTGGCAAGGCGCCACGCCCATCCAGCACCCGGCATAACGTCTGCCCCATCGAGTAGGACGCCTCGAAATCGTAAGCCTGCCTGTAGCGCCTAAGCTTCGGCACGCCTTCCGTTGTGCGAGGCCTTCCCCAGCCTCTCTCTCTCTCCCTCTCTCTAGTCTCCGTGGTGGTGGACAGATAGCACCGGAAACGTGCGCGTTTGGGCTGCCACCGTCCCGCGCCAGCTTGACACGCGCCGCACGGTTCCGAGGGCGGCGCCAGAGGAAAATAGAAACAAACATGATGTGCGAGAGAAGGGTGGCCGTGCTTTACGCCCCCATTCTCGGGTTGTTCGATTGACGCCGCCGTCATGCGATCGGCGGGTGGGCATGACTGATACCACTTTTCGCGCAATCACGCACACACACACACACACACACACACACGCACACATACCTGCAAGAGGAAGCGAAGCGATGGGAATACGAGCTGCACGTCTGCAGAGCCCGTTGATTAAGGGGGCCTGGGCAGTTATGCTTGATGCACGAACAGCCCAGAGGGCTCGATGGGTAGATCGCTCTTCTGACGGCGTCGTGTTAGAAAGCAAGTGACTGGGGGGGGGGGGGGGGGGGGGGGGGGCAAGGGTTTCGCGAGCTTCCGAGTGCCCTACTTTCTCATCCTCTATCGGCCGGAACGAGACAAGCAATCCGCTCGACACTCAATGTTATACATGCCTTTCTTTCTGGGAACCCCAAGCGCATTCAGCCGCACCGCACGTGAAGATTACAAAAAGCTCGCCGGTACCCTCGGACGCCTTGCCCATAATGCTCGGAGATTGCCCAGAGACACAGCGTCCGCCTGTCGGTGTGTTTGGTGAGTAATCGAGTTGAGCCACACCATCAGGGACGCCGCCCACGCCGGGAGCTCGTCCCCCAGCGTCTGTGCTCCAGTGGCTATAAACCCACCAGAAGATGTGGCTGCTTCCGTTTCTTTCTTGTTATTTCGACGTAGCCTGAGTCCGAGATACGTCTTGGAGTGGGATACGTGGCGGGTAATATCGTCTTTGCTACCGCGGTTCGCCGAATGACGAGACTCAATGGGAGTGTCAACATGTCCACTAGAGCCCCGGCCAGCCAGAAGCTTTCCCCATCTGAGTGCATAACAACGTGCATCACGAGCTTTGTGCTTACTTGGAATTGAAATCAACAAGCGAGCATCGCATCGTATCCAAGGCACATCGTTCATGGAGAAACACTGACTAAAGTGTTATTCCATTTCCATACATTGAAGCTTTCGAATGTAATCCAGGAAACTCCGTGGGATCCCAGTTAAAGTGACCAAGAGAAAGCGGCGTAGCTGATATTGTATCGCAAGACCGTCAGAGATTTCTGCTTGGAAACTTGACTTACAGCCAGATAAACTTTGGCCGATTATTCGGCGGTAGTGTTCCTCAATAACGTCGACGAGGTGGAGTAAACTAGCTGGTAGAGGCCAAGAACTATTGAGAAACACCATGAGGTATGCTTGCAGTGAACGCCCCTCTTGGTGCGGGTAACTCTATTATGTCTCCTTAAACTGCCATAGTGTTATATTTATAGTCAAAGAGTATTAGACTTGCAGCACTGTAGCCACCTATTTACACAAACATTGGGACTGACCCACCTGGCTGGAAGGGCAACAGGCGTTGACCTGGGCAAGAACCCCAGAGTAGCGGCTCACAGCATCGAGGCATAGGTCACACAATATAGAGACTCTGTGTCTTGTAGCATGGCAATAATGCCCAATCACTAGTTACTGATGAACTGTCGACCATGGCAGTCATCAGCTAGCAATGGGCATCAAGTGCAGAAGCAATAAGCGCAATAGTAAGTTAGATAAGTGAGGGAAACCGCTGTTGTACATTTTCTGCGAAATAGCACAGACATGAATGCTGTTCCCAAGGTGTGTGTATTGATCAGGTCACTATAAATATCGTTCATGAAAACGAATTTTGGCAGTTATGGAACTGCCAGGAATAGCTTCACATCCACGAATGTTGCTTCAGGTTCGTCCAACAGCGACGTCGTCCATTAGGAACCATCCCTGTTCTATAACAGCTTAGGTAAAGAGCCGTTTTGTTCAAAAGATGTATGTACCCGCGACTGATTTTTCTGCAATCGCTTTGATGTCATACATAGCACTTATGTGCCCAAGCCGGAAGGCCGGCTCCTGGAATATCGCAATTGGCTCCTCGGAGATATGTCGCGCTGAAAAGGGCTCTGGGAGATGGTACATTGATAGACCAGAGAGCTCTGGAGACATTCAATGCTATGAGAACATTGAGATCGATGACTCTGGGGTTGTCTTGTTGCTAATATGTCGTACTGGCCTCACGCACCTGCATATAATTAGCTGAACCGCCTCTATAGAAAATACGCCTTAATAATTTGGATATCCATAATATCCATACTAAAATCCAGTCCATAACCGTAATATCCAGACTCACATCTAAAAAATATCCATTTGGATTTAACCATTTAACCATGGTTAATACTCGCTTAAAAAATCCATAAACCATATACCCATTAACCATATGGATTTCTCCATAATATCCATGGATATTATGGAGGGGAAACCATATGGATATCCATGGATATTTTTAACCCTATTGATCTTCAAAAGGGTTTCAACTTCATCCACTCGTGATTACACCTCAAGCACAAGCTCATATCATTGATATAGGCAACATAACGAGCTTTTAACCGGTTCGTTTGGCCACAGAAGAAGAAGAAAAGAAAAACAAGTTGAAGGCTGTGACGGGAGGATTCAAAGCATATAACAAGCCTCGCCTGCATCTGTTGGCAACAGGCAGATTGCACAAAACTCCACCCCCGTATCCTGTAATAGTCCCAAACGGGATCTGGAATGGGTAGTTGCTAAAGGTGATTACTTGATCCACGAAATTGATGTCTCTTCTGCTGACCATCATTTCGAAGTCGATATTTTTGCTCGTTGTGCCTCTCGAAGTTGTAGTACGATTAGCAGTGCGTGTGAGTGATCTGGTCTCGACTGAGCCCGGAGGGGTTGGTCGGCATGGCTGTTGTCTTAGCCCACAAGACAGCGAGAGCAGTCCTTTTTGTTTTGAACCTCATTGACATCGTCAATATTTAACGACCCATAGTCCAAGATCTTGGGTTAACAGTATCTCAAGTAATGTAGAACCCTGAATCTTCAGCCTGTATGTCTAGGTGCGTAGTCTCGGCGGGGAGAGTGCCGACGGAAAAAAGCGTACTAAGACATGTTTTTTGAACCAGGTTTGTCGATCTTGCCAGTGTGACAGGCCTCACCGGTGGGTGCTACGACAAGCCTGATCTCATTATAGACCTTGCCCCTTGGATCAGCTTTCAACTCGAGGGGTGCCGAGGGCCTGGGTCTTACGGCAATATCGAGGGGTAATGTTGGGAAGCCGAGACGGTGAATGATTTATCCAGACGTAAAGAGCTAGTCGCAAACTTCAAGAAACTGCTGATTTTTCAGTTACGTTCTTTCCATGCTTCGCTGAACCCCAACGATTATCATCGGCTGCCCCGTACAGCTCCAGTCAGCTACACACCATGGTCGTCAACCACTCTTCCGGCGTCGGCAATAATATATCGGCCCAGTTCATGGAAAGAGAGACTAACTGGGTCAGCTATGCCGACATCGCGAACTATGACACAAAGTCCACACCATCCAGAGATGGACAAGGCCAACGGAATCGGAGTACATGTCAACATCGACCCAGATGAAATTTCACCTATGAAGAATTCCGACGCTTATATCGTTGGGAGTGATTGGTGGGCTAGAATAGACCAACCAGATGCTAACAGAAACCAGCCCATTCTATGACCAATGTAGTTGTTCAATGTTTTGGACCAAAAAGCCATCGTCAAAGCCAGAATATATGTGCTAGAGGGCGTTGACTATCTGGCAGGAACTTGGCATGACGATGGCTATCCATTTTCTCTTGTAATGTAACCCTAATCTATTCATGTTGAGGGCCCCCTGAATGTCCAACGCATCGCGCATACGTATTAGTAGCCAGCTATCCCCCATCGTGCCAACGTCTCCGCAGAGTGCGACCACCTCATGGCATGACTGATAAACGCTTTTACTTGTTTGGAATCCTTTCACCTCGCAGCACACGGCTTCCAGACATTGACATCCCCGTACGCTGATGTCATCATTTCCTTGGACTGTGATGTTGAGTGATTCAGTCCACGCTTTTCTTGAGCGAGTCATCGTTAACCAGCGAGGTAGTCGAGCGGAGCCCTGTGGCTCGTGGCCTGCTTAACGAGTATTAGTTGCCATCAAACGAGCGGCTCTGTGGTTTGCAACATATATCATGACTTGGCCATGAACCCTCACCTGGAGCACGACACAGGCCCTCAGCTCCTCCACAAGTAAGCTTCCATGTTGCTCTTTGTTTACTCTTCACTTCCCCATCAGGGAGCCAAGGTTTCTTCCGGTATAAGAACACTCAACATGTTTGCGTGCTGAGGCTGCCCGTGAAGTTCCAGGCAGTTTTGGACTTGTGGACTTACCATCCCAGAATGGGTCAGATTGACGTGCAGGAATTCGTATCCGCCGGCCACAGAAGAGTCTAGGAGCATCAGCACCAGGCCGGGGTCTCGCCTGGTGGTTGGTGGTGTACAGCTGGCCAGGGATGGGATCGCGGCAAGTTTTCTGTCGAGCCAATGCAGGACACGCCCGATAGGTGCCTCCTCATCGTTTTCAAAGTTTGTGCCGGCGATTGCCCTGACCCTCCTGTAGCACTTGAATGTGACGTGGACGGGCTCTGATTTTCGTGTCCCACATGTTAGAGTTATGTGATATATGACGGAGGTTGACGAGGGGTTTCCGGCTCATACGGGTTCTCTACTCGCCAGTTGGGAGACGGATAGAGTCGTGACGCTAAAGCACGCTCATTGCCCAATCATCTCGTTCGGGTGATGAGTATCGGGGCTGCAGGCAGAAGCCGGTTATTTGGTTTGGTACGTGATTCCATGCTCCTCTGTGCAACTTCTCCGGATTCCTTCTGTCCAGCCAGCATATCGACGTCGTCCCTGAAGCGAGTCATCATCTTGAACACAAGGCCGATCATTAGGATAGTCAGTCTACTGGTTATGTTCATCGACATTCTGACTATCTCCAGGATGCCGATGAGGTTTTTTGTAACCTTCGCCTCGCTCTCATAAGGACTGCCGCGATATAGCTCTTTGCCCCCCCCCCCCCCCAACGCGAGAAAAAAGACTCTTGCCACCGCCAGTCCTTAGGAACTTTCAAGCACGTCCCACACCAGGTTCTCGTGCACGACGTGCGCGCCGACGCTCAGCGGCGCCCCGGTCTTCAGGAGCGCCTCGCAGGGCAGCTCTCGCGCGCCGATCTGCGCCGTCCGCTTCCACCCCTCCTCGCCCTTCCACTCCCAGCGCTGCGCCGCGACATCATCCTCCCCGACCCGCGAGATGCCCTGGCAGAACCGGCCCAGCCAGACGACCAGCCCCCGCGATCTGGTCGGCTCATCCTCGAATCTGAGGACGATGCACTCGACGCCTTTGCCCGCCTCCTCTTTCTTCTCCTCGCCGCCGCCGCCGCCGCCGCCGCCGCCAGCAGCAGCCGCGACGGGGACGGGGACGGGGTCAATGTCCCGCCAGAGCTCCTCGTAGTCCGTCTCCGCCCCGGTGGCCGGGTTCACCATCCGCCCCTTCTCGAGGGTCAGCCCGCCGGGCTGCTCGTACATGTCGCCCTCGTCCGCGGCGTTCTCGGGCTCCGTGGTGCGCGAGTCGATCCAGTGCTCCCAGCGCGAGTGCCGGACCTGGACGCCGTCGCCGCCGTCGCGCATGGACGAGGACGAGGTCCCCGCGATGCCCCACTCCAGACGCTCGATGCCGTGCGTCGCTGACGATTGCGTCAGCCTTGGGGCCGGCGGTGGTTTGAGTTGAGGGTGGTCCTCCCCTACTCCCCCCCCGGTCGCGTGATTCCCAGCTTACTCATCCCCTTTTCCCCGGGGAGAGGAGGACTCACCTGGCGCGCCATCGGCCGTCGGCGCCGACTTGAGTATGCGGAGATCGACGAAGCGGCGTTGCGGGGACGTGAGCACGATGGTGGACGTCGGCTCGCTCGCCTCGTCGGGGATCCAGCGGATATGTTCGCGGAATGAGATGCTGCCCATGGTGAGCGAGGGTCGCAGCAAGTCTCTCGGAGTGCGGAGAGCGGCTCTGGGGATAAGATTGCGAAACAGTGTGTGTGTGTGCGTGTGTGCGTGTGTATGTGTTCCTGAGGTGTAACTTGCGCGCGCCGGTCGCGGGCGTTGATGTCCCGCAAGACAATCAACCCCACTTCCAACCGACCACTTACCGTCACAGCCGCGGATCGGACCCGGGCCACCACGTGTATGCGCCGCCATCAACGCCCATCCGAACGCGTCTATTACTCTACTTATGCATTGCTTCTCTCCCCGTGTGAGATCTATAGTCTATGGCCCGATTCTTATGTAAAAGTCTGTATGTTAACACCGTCTATCCCGCAACCCACCCGCTCCATCCAATGACCAACCTTACCCAGTCATCATCGCCGTCTAGCTAGTCTTGCAGACACACATGCAAACTTGCCAATCTCACACAGCGTTCTCCAGCCTCCGCACGGCCTCAATGAGCCCCTGGACCTTGCGCTCGCACGTGATCCTGGTCTCCTCCTGCGCCTCGTACGTCTCCCGGAGCCGGTCGACCATAAAAGGCTTGAGCGGCGCCCGCTTGGCCGCCTTGTAGTCGTAGACGACGATGTCCTCGAAGCAGCGCGCCGAGGGACGGCGGTGGGCGTGGGAGATGAGGAGAGCCTCGAGGAAGATGTAGTCGGCCCCGTACGTCGGCTTGGAGACGAGCTTGTGCAGGACCGTGACGTGATCCGGGTAGGCCATCGGCTTGGGGGGGGGGGGCGCGGTCAGCGTCTCGGTCTTGCGGTGAGGTGAGGTAAGTGTAGACGATGAGAGGTCTCGGGAAGTGATGGGAGACCATCGGGTGTTGTTATAAAGTGCAGAGAGAGAGAGAGAGAGAGAGCACTCACAAACTTATAGTCCGTCTTCATGCTCCTCATGATGAGCCCGACGTCGCGCGGCGACAGGAAGGCGTTCCAGTCGTCGGCGTGCTCGGGGTCGATGGTCGTGGCGAAGTTGCGCAACCAGTTGAACCGCGCCGACTCGGCGTACTTGTTGTAGACGACGTTGTTCACGTGACCTGCGACTGTGAGCTGCTGTTCGTGTCTCGGTCAAGCTGAACGGTGCGCCGTACCCTGAGCGTCGTGTTAGTGAGCGGTTCTCGCGGGACTCATAGCAGACATGTCCATCCGGTTCGGTCATTCAAGTCGCGAGGACCCGAGGGGCTCAACTCACCATTGCGTCCTGGAAACCCGAAAAAAAAAGTCAGCAAATCTAGTCTCTCCCAACTCTCACCCGGCGCTCTCATCTCAAATCTCATGGAAGTTCTCATGAGAGTCTTGCATGGCACACATGAAAAAAAAAAAAAACCGAACCTGATCTCCCCAGGTCACAGTGTGCCTGTCCAGACCCCTCCATCCGGGGCCCGTGAGGAACCCCTCCCGCCCGGCGAACAGCTCCAGCCACTGGGCGTCGACGGCCCGCCGCACCGCCTCGAGCTCCTCGGCCTGGCGACCCTGGAGGCCGCGGCCGGCGCACCGCGTGATGCGCGTCTGCAGGTCGGACAGCCAGCGCGGGCCAAGCGCGGCGACGGCGGTGGTGTCGTTTGCGCCAGCGTGTGCGCCGGCGTGGGCAGGGGCCGGAGACGGGGCGGCGAGACACGGCGCCGAGGTGGCGAGCGAGCGGCGCTGGGGGAGCCGTGCAGGGGCGGCGCGGGCCAGACGGGCGCCGAGGGCGAATGTGCTGCGCATCGTTGCTTTCTTTCTTTCGTTCCTTCTTTTATTCTTTCCTTCTTTTATTCTTCTCAAAACAACCTTGTGACTCTGTGCGTGGCGGAGGATATCTTCGGCGTCTGCTTCACAACGCGCGCAAATTTCAACAGAACGGACACATAAGGAGCGGTCGGTCGCCAGAAGTCGGCGGGTGAAGAATTTGATAAGGGGCGGGTTCCGTCGGCCAGCCGCCCTCGTCCAAACCCCCCCACACCCGGGAGCAAGGACTCGAGAACCCTTGAATTTGGTTTATTTGAAGGCTCATGAGTGGTGAGTGGTGGTGGCCCCCCTCCCCATGAAGAGGGTCTCTGGCCGTTTTTGGAGGTTTGCGCCCCGTCTTATCTTTTTTTTCCTGCGTCATCGTGTGGTGCCGTTGGTTCGGTTCGGTAGTTGGCCGGGGTTTTTTGTTCTTTTGCTGGGCTGGGTATAAAGTACCGTAGGTAAGCATGTGTGTGCTATGCAGGTATGTGTATGTAGGTACCTATCTTTGGGTAATGACAAGGCGTGGGGGTTCCGTCTACGATGCGCGGTGCCTGGTGAGCTTGCTGTATAGGTATGGGAAGCAAGCTGACGGAGTGTAGTTAGTATTTAGTCAATTCTGCGCGCTACTGGATGCTTCCAATCGTAAGAGTCTGTCGTGCAGGATCATTTAGACAAGTCACTGGTCGGAGGCATGCTGAGGAGGTACCTTGGTGTACGTACCGAGCGCACCAGGATCGGCTACATGTGATGATCATTTATAGGTCGAAATCATACCATCCCCCTCATACCAAGCAAGGCTTAGCCTTGAATCTCCCCTTGGTGTAGTTGGTTCATCACGTTCGACTGTAATGGTTACATTGTCATCGAAAGGTCTCTAGTTCGATTCTGGAAGGGGAGAACTTATTTCTTTTTGTATTTTCTCATTTTCCATTTTGTATCTGTCTATCACCTTCATACGCCGTGCACCGCAAACAAACCCTTGCTATTGCTGCCATCATACCTTTTCTCCATTTGCAGACCGCATGCAACCTCATCGGCGACAATTGCAGCGCTGCTGCCACGAGAGGCTCAGTTTGTTACATGGGGCGGTTCAACCTTAACACACACACAATACGGGCATTTCCTCCCTACTTCGTTGGTGAAAATGCCAACGACATACTATAGTAGGCAGCTAGACGTAGGTTTTTAAAAACACACCCCCTTCTCCGTCATGCGCTTAGCACGAGTCTTCAGCGCGAGTCTTCAGCGCGTCGAGAGCGAGGGAGGGGTCCTTGGTCGCCTGCGCCACACCCGCTGAACTGAGCCACCTCGGCGAAGGAAGTAAAGAATAAAAAAAAAAAAAAGTCCCGTTCCAGGTATGCCCTGCCCCGGCAGAGACCCTCCCTCCCGACCTGCGAGCGAGTGCGCGTCCACACACACGAGGCGGGGGAGGGGGGTAGGTGGAGGGACCAGGCAGGAGCTCCGAGCTGCAACGGGAGCGGTGGTCATAGCTTCTTCTTCTTCCTTTCTTTCCTTCCTTTCAAACCGGGTTCGCTACCTTCTTTCTGCCCCACCTTCCAGATCAGGGAGTGGGGACCACAATTCTTGACGACGACTACTACCACCATCCCCCCCCAAACTGCAGCCGCGACGCAGGTCCAGCGCACACGACCAGACGCCGGACTGCACGCGTCGCGCCCCCCTCCGATGCATGCTTCTACCATCAATAGGACACCAGAGAGCTTTCCTCAAGGGTATCAGTAAAATACAGCATCTTTTCCATTCGTCATACTTATCTAGACAGTAATTTCTGGAGTTTCCCTGCCCGTGTCGTGTGAGGTTGGCCCTGGGTGTGTTTCGCTGCGAAAAGGGGGCTCGGGCACACGCGTCGCCAGGTCAAAACAAAGCACAGCCCTGACATGAGCTGCTCGACACACCACGCTGACGACCAGATATCCCGAGCCTTTGATATTCACCTGTCCTGATTGATGATGCTGTTTATGATACATCTCTACAAAATCCCATATCTGGGGAGTGGCCGAGTTGCCCGCAGCATCGCATACGTGGCCTTGATTTGGACCTCGCTGTTCTCCGTTGGCCTGGGTCTACAATGTGTGTGTCTAGCCATGCTACAGTCCAGGAGCACCACGGCTACAGAAACAATGCCTCTGGTATGACTTTTGTCTTCGCCGGATAAATGCTCCCCTCAGTAAGAGGGAAACACTACGCAGCTGACTGCGATGCTTAGAAGTGCCTATCAGTCATCGAGTTGCTGCGCATGGGAGACCGGCACCACGTGACATGCAGCCTTTCCTCGTTTACAGTTGCAGCGCTTCCAGTAAGGCCGGGTCGGAGTTTTGCCATGAGAGTTATTTCTGATACCTCGAAATCCAACAAATCCATCATCCCAATCGTGACGGACATTTCTTTCGTCGAGCTAAAGTCTGTTTCAGGCTGTTGGCGACGTGTCCGTAGGCACGAGTCGATAGGCGGCGACCGGCATACACGTGTTCTCCTCCACCTTGGGCAGACATGCGTCATACTTGAAGTCGCAGCCACGCCGCAAACAGGCTCATGATGGACCGAGAAAAAAAAAGTGAGCAATATGGATCGAGAGTCATCAAAAACTCGATGCACGTGTTTTTGTGATCGGGAACGCGCCGGAAGTGGTGGCAGTCGTTCCTCTGCGATGACACTGGTCAAATGTGAATAGCTTCCATCGCGACACATCTCCGGGAAACTCCCATCGACGCCGCCGGCATGATATGGGCATCAAACCGGTCTCAAAAAATCGTCATTCGATTGGGATCATGACTACGAGATGGCAAGAGAGCTGACGGCAGAGGCGGAGCAACGGCGTGGTCGTGGGCACGTGGAAAAGACGATGCACTGGTTTTCACCGGTCGCGTGACGCGATCGCCATGGGGCAAGGGGCGATACTCGGTGTAAGTCAAATCGGGCAGGGAAAACGGGAGAAATCCAACAAAAATACCCCCGACCAGATCGTCGACTTAGACGATGGAATCGGGTGTTTTCCAGATGCAGCGAGGGGTGTTGGTGGCGATTGAGATGGGGGTGGTGCAAGATGTGAGGATAGCTTCAATTCGGACCAAGTCGCGACCGAGTTCCCACAGACGGGGTCGGCGCCCCGATGCGCAGTACGCGATATCCGGGCCGCATCGCGCGACAAACACAAGAAAAACCGCATGATACGATGGGGGAAACCCCGAGCAACAGAACCTGGGAACTGGGCCGAGATGAAACCGGAAGTGCGAGGGGAGAAGCCGGATGCGACTGGTGGCAATGGTGCGGGCGAGATGAGCGACGATGGGCAAAAACGTGCAACTCGACGGGCGAAAGGCGCAGAGAGGCGAGGCAAGTTGGGGCCGGGTCGGAGGAAAGTGGATCGGCGTGTGCAGAGCTCGAAAACGTGGCACTTGCGAAGACCGAGTCATTCAATCGTAATGGAGGGTAAGCAAACGGGATCGAGAGGGAAATGGAGAGAAGAGGAAGAGGAGAGGGACGAGGAGACGAGAGGGTGGTTGAGGTGGGCGATGAGAATGAGTTTGGTGGGATGGGCAACGTGTGCCGGCCGCATCAGAGCAGGAACCAAAACCAAACACTACGTAGGTGGGAAGGAGGGGACCACGGCGACGGCGATGGGCTCCTGCTCAACTTCCTACACCTCCCCTCAGGTACTACGTAGATAGGTAGGTAGGTAGGTAGGTACCTCCTACCTCAAAAGTAGGTAGCCAAGGTAGGTGCCGACAGGATTAAATTCTGGCCAATCAGAAAAATCGGACGATAGAGAAAGGGCCCGAGATTAAGAGGGGGGGGGAAACTGCGACCGAGAGAAATATAGGTAGACTGGGGGTACAAGTTGCACGTATCTTTGTTTTGGACGATGGCAAACATGGCAGTTGCGATGGGAAAATGGGAAAGAGACGATGACCGGGGGGCGGCGGGACACTGGGAAGGGACGGGGGGAGGAAGAGGAGAAAGGAGAGAGATCAGTGGGCAGTGGGTACGGAAAGAAAGGAAGGAAGGGCCCAGGAAGCACTGGCATGGCATAGCAGTGCGCGTGCCTGCCTGCTCTGACGGGATGGATGGATGGATGGATGGATGGATGAATGCACTGATGGTGGTGATCTTGGGTTGATCTTAGTGTAAGAACCTAGGCGGAAGGCGAAAGGCGCGAGAGATCTGGCCTTGCTAGGGTTTCGTTGTTTTTGTTTGCCTTTGGTTGGTGGGCGGGCTCAGGGGACCGCCAACAGTGTACGAAGTAATCTATCTACTCTGTACTCCGTACTCTGGGTACTATTCGTGCAGCAGAGCACTTGCCAGGAGTCCCAGAAAAGACAATAGTGGGCTTTCTGGGGTCATCTCACCCGTTCCCATGAACTACAGAGTACCTACTACGGTAGGTAAAACTACTGAGGTAGCACAGCCAGTGGAAAGCCCGCAACGGCGACACAGAGTAAGAGTAGGGCACCAGAACAACATACCCCAGCACGGCCAAGGCAAGATGACTGGTCCGCGGTGGGGGGAAGCTCTGGAGTCTGGTCAAGGTTACAGCGTGGGACACCAGGTGAGGTGTTCGAACCGCTTGCAGGGGGCGATAAGGGGACCGGCCCCGGTAGTCCAGGGTGTGACAGCAGACCGACTCCAGAGACGACGGAAGCTTCAGCAGCTTCATGCATAGATGGCCATTGCTATTGCTCGGGGCGCGGGCGGGAGAGCGGCTGCCGGAGGGGAGAGAGGGTGTGGATGTGATGAGATGGAGAGAGAGAGAAAAAAGAGTCTAGTCTAACGGGGAAGCTCAGCTGTTCTGTGAGGGGGATCTGCTGTTTGCTGGCGACTGGCTTCCTGAGATGATCGGGGGGGTACGATTTGGTTGCCACATGACTGATGAGTTGTCGACCGCGAACGACAGACAGCTATAGGTAGGCAGGCAATCACATTCGCGTGCCCTCTAAATCTAGATAAATGTACGGAAGACACTCGGAGACAATCAGGGGGGATATGAATGGGCATCATAAAAGGGACTCGGCCAACCAGCGAGGGCGGTCGTCCAACAGGAAAACGGCGGCCGTGCTGGATCTGGCACTGAGCGCGATTGATGGCTGGTTTCTTGGGAGACAACCGCGCAGACTAGACGTCTAAAATAGAGACGCACGTTTGTTCGTCTCATCGGCTCCAGCGCTAGTCAACAATGTAGGTTAAGGCAAGTGAAGAATGGACAAATAAGATGTGAATGCCGAGAGGAGGCAGAGCAAGTCAACATGATGTGTGTGTGAAGGGGAGGGCAAAGCGAGAACGAAGGGGAGATGAGGTAGGTCAGTTGGGGCCAGGTCGAGTCGAGAAGTTTAGGTAGGTAGGTAAGGTAGGTAGGTAGTGAGAAGGAGGGGGGGGGGGACGTCGAGCCAGCGGAAGCACGGAAGCTGGGGCTCTGCCTGCCGCCAGTCAGTCTTGCCCTGACTGCTTGTCCCGTCTACTCCCTCCTGGCTTGCCATGCACCTGTTGCATCTGCCTGCGTCTGCCATCTTAGTTTTTATCTACCTAACTAGGTAACTAAGGTAGGTCGGCCACCTTAGCTACCCGGCATGACGAGATCTTGCTAGACCCAACGGGAATCGGCACAAAAAAGACATCTAAAACCCTTCTGGACCATCATGGTCATGCTCCGACTGGTGTGGGAAAGATTGGGAAAATGGGGAAAGAGAGAGATGGGGGGGGAAAGGAAGGTGCGACGCGTGTGTGTTGGGAGCGGGAAGGAGGTAGTAGGCAGTAAGGTGGAAGGAAGCTAGGTAGGTCGGAGAGGAAGGAGTGGAGAGGGGGAGGGGAGAGGACCCCAGAGGCGGCGCGCCCGTCCTCGTGGTTCACTCACTGTGCAGCGCCCATCACCTCCCTCCCCCATCCCCCCCCCCCCCAAATGGCACCGGCACCTGGACAGCAGCACCCGAGTGTCAAAAAAAAGAGGGAAAAAAAGAAAAAGGCGGCAGACACAACAACCCCCCGGGACCAAGGGCCAGAAAGTTACTGATTGCGCACCACGCCCAACGGCCCCCGCTCATTTATAAAAACATGCCCCGTCCCCTACACGCACCCGCTCCCACCCCCTTCTCGTTCCGGATCCCTTCTTCTCTCGTCTCTCTCAACAACCAACAACGCGTCGCCAATCTATTTATTCAACTCGTCTCTCCATCGACCTCAATCGCGCTTTCGATTGTATCCGCTTAAGTGCACAACTTTCCAACACATAACCCCGTCCCACCCAACCCAAAACAACACAATGCCTCCCAAGAAGACTGAGGGCGCTGCCGCCGCTCCTGCTACCAAGACCAAGTCCACACACGCCAGCTACCAGGTTTGTACCCCCGAGGCCCTGGGTTTTTTTGCATGCCGTGTTCTTTTTACTAACGACCTGCAGGACATGATTACTGACGCCATTGTCGCTGTATGTTTTTGCCGCTTCTCTGTCTGGCGCAAAGAGTGGCGCGACTCGAGGGCCCCACGGGTCACCTGCCCGGCGACGTCTTAGTGCGCACCGCCTACCGCTTCTGCACCCGTCGGCACCCTCGATCGCGCACATTGCCCTCTATCGCCTATTGCCCTCGACGGCTCTCTTACTGACGCGTCTCCCTTCACAGCTCAAGGACCGCAATGGATCTTCCCGCCAGTCCCTGAAGAAGTACGTCAAGGCCAACAACCAGATCAACACCGTCACCGACAACATGTTCGACTCCTTGTTCAACAAGGCCCTCCGCACTGGTGTTGACAAGGGTGTCTTCGAGCAGCCCAAGGGTAAGCCACATCCCCGTCTGGTCCTCTCATTCATGCCTCTGACAATGCTGTAGGCCCCTCTGGTGGCACCAAGCTGGCTAAGAAGGCCCCTAAGCCTGCTGAGAAGAAGGAGAAGAAGCCTGTCGAGAAGAAGGCCCCCGCCAAGAAGGAGGCGAAGGAGCCCAAGGAGAAGAAGGCCGCCGCCCCCAAGAAGGCTGCCGCTGCCAAGAAGGAGACCAAGGAGTCCAAGGAGAAGAAGGCTGCCGCTCCCAAGAAGGCCGCTGCCCCCAAGAAGGCCGCCGCCGACAAGAAGGAGAAGAAGCCTGCTGCCAAGAAGGCTGCCGCCGTATGTTTTGACTCCGGACGTGTTCAGTCCTGCTTCGTTGACTAACACGCGCAACAGGAGAAGCCCTCCAAGGAGGAGAAGCCTGCTGTCCTCAGCAAGACCAAGACCGGTCGCGTCACCAAGACGGAGAAGAAGGCGCCCGCCGCCAAGAAGGAGACCAAGGAGCCTAAGGAGAAGAAGGCCGCCGCTCCCAAGAAGACCGCTCCGGCGAAGGCCCCCGCGCCGAAGAAGGCGGCGCCCAAGAAGGCCGCCGACAAGAAGGAGGCCAAGGCCGACGCTCCCGCCGCCGCTGAATAAACGGCATCCATCCATCCATCCATCCAAGCAACCGTTACGATGAGGCAACGTCGAATTTGCTCGGCTTTCACACAGCAAACGTTTGGTGTCATGAATCTTCTCCAACGGCGTTCACGGGGGGTCTCGATTTTGTTTACTGGGAAAGGGCAAAGGGCCGGGACGGTTGGTGGGAAACCGACCGGGGAGGGAAAACGCGACGCGTTTCTGTCTTGTATTTTGTTACTTGTTGCTATTGCCGTGTATGTGTGTGTGCGCGCGCGCGCGTGTGTGTAAGTCCCTGGGGGGGTTTGGGGGCTGCGAGAAAGGGACGCGGTCAGGTCGAGTTGATGCTGGGCTTTTATTTTTGTCTCTGGAGATTTAGCGACGTCTACGGACGCCGTGTCTGTGTACGCATTCTTGGTCCCGCCACAAGATATGGTGGCGGCGTTTGGTCTGCGTTGACGGAGACTCTTCCGACTACTGTAACTATAGCTCGCGCGATATACCAACGATGGGAGCCTTTTCACTGTTCATACGAGATTTTTCTATGCGCATGGAGTGATGCCTTGGTTATCAGAATGAGGCCTGAAGCAAGTATGAAAGGTCGCGTTCAGAGACATTTGATCAGGGGGAGGCACAGGTCGTGAAGTCGCGCTCTTGATTACAAGCATCAGTCCGGAGAAGGGGAAATGATGACGCAGGACGACATCTCGTTTGATGGAGGCCTGGGGTCACGGACCAAGCGCCGGCCAGGAAATGAAGCACCACGCACACACACACGAGAAATTCCCAAGGCAAAAGGGAGAGTGAGTGAGAGAGCGAGAGAGAGAGAGAGAGAGAGAGAGAGAGAGAGAGAGTGAAGAGTTGAGGCCACGGGTCGGTCTACTTGCGACCGACACACCCAGAGGGGGGAGGAGAGAAGTTGAGGGACCAGTTTTCGGGAGGTGGAGTCGAGACGCGGTTCGCACTTCTTTTTGTTTACGTTTGTATTCTTTCCCTTTTTTTTTGTTCGATTGTCCTTCCTCCCGGGGGGGTGTTGCGGTAGGCGGTCAGTCGGTCGGTCGGTGTCGGGGGTCTTGTTCCCCAGCGCTGTTGAAAAGATAGATACAGATAGATAGATAGGTGGGTAGTGAGTCTAAATGGGGGCGGAGACAAGAGGCGCCTGAGCTGTCCTGAACGCCCGCGCTGGAGATTAGAGGAGTCACGTGTCCCCCGGGCGGCGGGCTGTCTTCCTCTGCATGTTCTTCATTACCCAACATTGTGTGTATGTATGTATGTATGTGGTGTGTGCTGGAGAAAAGCATGGTACGCATAATCCCGAGTTGTTACACTATGGACTTTACGTAGACGGTCTTTTTTGTTGTGTTGCCGCGTCTCTACTGTGAGAGGTCTTCTTCCTCTTCCCCTTTGCACGACACCCCGGCGGCCCGAGGTCACGCTACTTATTGGACGAGCGTATCATCGCCCATCGCCCCATCGCAGTTAGGCCAGAACGTCGGGGAGCTGCTGTTGCTGCTGCTTTGGATGGACGACGACACAAGGTTTGGCACGTACTGCGACGAGGGGGGGCGGCCGCCATCGCCGCACCACGCCCGCGATAACAATCCTGCTGCTTAGTCCTCCCCCCCCCCCCCGTGCTGGTGGTCATCTGGATGAGGCCTCACGAGGCGTTCCTCGCGATGTTGGCTTTGGCTAGCTACCTAGGTGTGTGTCGTGCGTGTTTGCGAATGGAGCCGGGCCGAGGGACGGGGCTTGGCCATCGATGCCTGCCTATGCCGTCGCGCCGGGCTTTCTCCTCTTTCCAACGGACCGCTGAAGCATGTCTATCAGAAAGACCTGACGACGGAGGCAGGGCAGGCAAGGGACTCGTATTAAACGCGGCGACTTCCACCCCGAACCTCCAGTCGCCAACGGTCTGCCTCTTAGCTACTCGTCGCGGTTCAGTTCTAGACTTGGGAGGCCGTGGCGGTGCGGGGGGGGGGAAACGCTCGAGAGATGGAAGGTCACGGGCCGGTGTAACGGCGTCATACGTTAAAGCTCGCAGCTTTCAGAAGCGTGCGGCAGCCGCAAACACCCACCCGCGGCTCTTATTCCCAGCCATCGTCTGTCGGTTACACACTAAGTAACAGCATCGCCCGCCGGTCGGCGCACAGTCGCACTTCCCCCATCGCAGGTCCTGACGGGGTGCAAGGAGTGACGCGGATGGCTAGCCCCGAGCTTCCTTCCCATTGGTGTTCCTGAAACAAACCTTGATCGCTCTGGGGGGGGGGGAGGGGGGTGAAGAAGGAAGACATGGCCCGTTTCTTTCTTGTCTGCCGACCGCCGCGATGGTCTTGTACCGGGTACACTACTTTGGCTGCACGTGATAGAGATACACTTGACCTCGGAGGAGGGAGGAGGAGGAGGAGGAGGAGGAGGTGAGGGGGAGGAAGAGAGAGAGAGAGAGAGTGTGTGTGTGTGTGTGTGCAGAAGGAGACGGTGGTGGATGCCGAAAGTGGCAAACCTCATGGTTATACAGTAGATATGCCTCTCTACGCATCCATCTTCTCTTGCGCGGTTTTTGAAGGCCTCGGGAGCAGCTGCATATCCCTATATCCCGGGATCCTTGCTGTTAATCCGGAACGGCTTGGGCGACAGGTGCAGGGGGCAACCGTACACTCGGTGGGCGTTGGATCAGAGATGGAGTGGAGAGGGAAGGGGGCCCTGAACGTTGGCGTGGTGCTGGACGAGCGGGTTTGCGAAGAGCAAAGTGAGGCGAGACGAAGATGGAGAGAAAGATGGCTGAGAGGAACGGGTCAGCTTGCTTCCGAGGAATAACGCGGCCTTGGTGGATTGAGGTTAGAGGCAGAGAGGAGGAGGGAGAGCTTCCTTCCCATATGGCTGGCTACCTACGGATACATCGTACCTACCTAACTACTGTGGGTAGGTATCTAGTACAGGGCTGTGCGCGCCTTCCCGTTGGTTTCGGGGGTATGCAGATGTGGGGTGAGCAGGATGAGGGAGGAAGGGGAGCGCCGGTGCGCGCGCCTGTCGAAGAGAGGCAAGTATGGGGCACCTACCTCGCACGAGGTCCTCCTTCCCCGGTTCTGTTGGTGCTGGTGCTAGTGCTGCTTCCTTTTCCTCATGCTTGAGCAGTTACATACCTACCTAGGTAGGTAGATAGGTAGGTAGGTAGGTATCAATCAAGGTACGAGCGAGTACGCTTTCATTTGCCAAGTCATGTGCTTTCTTCACCTTCTCTCTCTCTCTTCATCAGTCCTTCGTTCCTGCCTGCTGCTTGTATCTATGTATGTATTCATGTAATTACTACCTATCTAAATGGGCACCTGGGTACCTAGGTGAGTATGCGTGTAATATAGATACGCATGTGTTTGTGTCGGCAAGCAAGCGTCTCGTTTATGTCTGGAACTGCAAAACCGCATCTGGAACAGGGAATCCGAGGGCGGAAACTGCAACGAGGCAAAATGTCAGGCAGCACTTGGACTTGGACTTGCATGCACACTTGGACGTTGACTGAGGCAGCAGCAGGTAGCTAGCAGTAGCAGAGTAGCACAGCACAGCACAGAACAGAAGGAGGGCCCCTCTTTCTTACATCATCCCCCCCGCCAGCGTCAGGGTTCCATTGGGGGTCCTTCCCCATCAAAAGTGCCGTCGTCAATCACCAAAGACGACCAAAATCCCTAACTATCCAGTGTGCGAATACTGTATATACCTACCTAGGTACGGATACGGTAGGTACACTGCGTACGGATGTCCTCCTCGCTCGCTGGGCATGCGATAAGCGGGAGCACATAGCTCCTACTTCCCCTGCTGCCTTTCCCTTACCGTATCCGTATCATACATACGGAATATCTTAGCAAAGTACACTACACATCGCATTGCATCGCATCGCATCGCGTCGCAACGCACTGACCGTCGTCCTTCCCCCTCCCCCTCCTACCACCCCTGGTCCGTCGACCTCGTCCGGTCCTGACTGACGTCTTGCTTCTGTCCAATCTCCTCTCGTCATCTTCATCTTTGCGACCACCACAACGCAACTCGCATTCAATCCCTCCCAAACCATCCATCCGCCGCCAGCACTGCCCCTACGCACGCCAACAAACCACTGCTACCACCACCACCACCACCACCACCACCGCCGCATCCGCATCCGCATCCACATTTACTTGACTGCTGCCTCTTTTTTCCACCCTTCAATTCTTCCATTACCGTCAACTGCTTCTTATCGCTACCATACGAACGCCATACCATCACCCGCCATACGGACCATCTTCTATTCGTAGACAGACGCACAGAACCACTCCCCCAGCTGGTCCCCCCAAACTCTTCAAGAACTGGGCACCTCGCTGCCCTTGCGCTCTCGCCCATTGCTCAAAACACCCGTGGTAAGCAAGCAACATGGCCCCCATTTTCCCTATTGGGCTACCCGTCATCCCGACCCCAAAATCCCTCTAGCATCGCGTCCCTTGCGACTCGTGTGCGGCCCCCCTCCCCAACCGATTGTTCCGGCCGACGAGACTAACATACTCCCGCAGTACCCGTGCTCCCTCCCCAAATAACCAATACTCGTCAATCCCAACCCTCCCCGATTTACCAACCCACCGATCAAACATAACCCGCTACCCAGCCTTGCTCCCGCCATTCGATCCTCTGGCAATTCCAACGACCTCGACCCTCGAAGCATTATCGTCGTCGCTGTCGTCGAGCCTTGCGTCGATAGCGTCATCCGGCGATTACGACACCCCTCCACGTCTTCCCTTGACTGGACATGGCCATGGCGGCTGCCTGACTCTTGCTTCTTCGACAGCCCTATACTACGAGATAACCCACACATAGAATACCTCTCTCCAACTCGATCCTGAGCCATTCTCAGCCTTAATCATGGCGTCCGGACACAACCCCTTTCGCAAGAACTCGGCTTCCGCCTCCCTGTCACCCGCCATGTCTCACCCCGTGACGACCTCGGCCTTCCTCGATTCCATCACATCAGGCATTTCTCGCCACAACGCCCCGCCGCCCCCCGAGCTGCGACCAGTGAAGCAGAAGGTCGTCAAGAAGGTCAGGGTGCTGTCGCCGCCGCCCTCGTCCCCTTCCTCTCCCGAGTCCGTTCACAGTCGAGGCTTTGGCCGTCAGGACAGCAGCGACGACGATTCACACGATGACGACGACGACGACCACTTTTCAAAGAGGTTCCCCGAGCTCCCCGGCGGCCTACCCGAGGCTGCCCCCCTTCGTATTGCCAATGCGAACGGCACCCCCGAGAACCCCTTTGGCAGAACGCTGCAGGAATTGGAGGTCCTGACGGCAGAGAAGCCTTCGCCCGCCGCAGCCGGGAAGGCTATGGATGTCAACTCATTCAAGATGCTGCTGCTCACCGGTCAGGCTGGTGCCGGAACGCCGCCCCCGCAAAAGTCGCAACCGCACCAAAGCTCGACTGCCGGTTTCCCGACCGATGTGTCTTATGCTGCCCCCGAGCTGGATACGCCTCGGACATCACTGGACATCGCGGACCGCCGTGGAGAGGACCAGCTCTCTCTGCTGTCATCACCCACGGCCGCCAAGAGAAAGCCCCCTCCCCCGAGCTCGAGGCACGGCAGGAAGATCAGCGTTCAAACGCCAGAACGCCCGCTCGTCTCTTCCGAGACGGCGTCACCCGTATCGCCATCTGACATGAACAAGCCCCTCCCGCCGGCACCTAGCGGTTATGGCCTGGATGACGCGGAAGATGTCTTTGCCCGAGAGGCCGCTGGCAAGGTTCCGGAGCTGGACTCCCCCACTCCCAACACCACGCCCACTCCGACGACCCTTCCGGCGACTGCCAAAAAACCGACGCCCGCCCCTCCACCACGCCGAGGTCATGCACGTAGCCAATCGCTGACCCCCTCTGCCGGCGCAACTGCCCCGAGCACGGCGAACTACGAGGCCGATACCCCGCCTCGCTCGTCCATGGAGTCTCAACGATCACGTTCCGAGAGCTTCCGGAGCGTTAACGCCCCGGCCCCACCGCCTCCAAGGCGTCCGCATGCATCGCACCGGCAGTCGTCCCAGCTGGCGTCACCTTCGAATGCATCTTTCAACGGCGCCAGCCCGGTTCCGCCCGACGTTGAGGCTCTTTCACACGCTGCGGGGAACACCCCTCCCAAGATCTCGCCCCCTCCACCGCCACCGGCGCGTCACACATCCATACGTCGACCTCCGAGCGTGAGAAGCATTGAAGCCCCCAGCAGAAAGATGAGCATTGGCAAAGAGAACGCCGCTCCCCCGCCGCCGCCGCCGCCGCGACAGAGAGGCAGCAGCCGCGGAAGCATGGATGGGTACGGAGTGAGGAGGACGAGCATCGACAGTACCAAGGCCATGGTCAGCAACGTCCCAGAGGAGATCGGTGTCGAGGAAAGCGTACAGGACTACGGCACAGCACATGGTGGAATGGCGGCAGATATTCTCGCGGACCTTGACGCGTTGCAGAGAGAGGTAGACGCGCTAAGGGCGTCACAGGGTAAATAAGTGCAAGACGAAAGTGACAATAGAGGGAGGGCTGGACTTGGCATAGAAATGGCCGACGAGCCACACTCGTTATGCCCCGGAAGGGCCGATGGACGGGCCATGTTAAACAGGCGTTTGTACGTTTACACACATATTGGGATACGACATGAAGTAATGCAATGGTTATGAGTTGATGCTCATGCTGCAGCGGGTTTCCGTATCTGGGAGACCCGCATGACTCTCGTATAGCAAAATAGATTCGAGAGCAAATGCAAGTGAGTTACCCAATTTGTGGGGGACGGGTTGCTTCCCGGCCAGTCTTCCGATCCGACCTGCCACTACTATCCCATTGCCTTTCTGATGGTCCTCTTCGGCCCGACGGTGCCGGATGATGCTGGAGGGCTGAATCCCCGACACCCGTGACGCCGTCGCGAGCCTCGCCCTACATGGCCAGCCGCCCGTCTCGTCGCCGCAGTCGTCCATCGAGTTGACGTCCCTCTGGAGCCCGAGCGCAGGTGGGAGTCGCCGACCTTCTCCCGGTCCATAATCACGGCCGCCGGCTTCGTCGACGGTCGAGGCCGAGGCCGTAACAAAGCGGGTGCTGTTACGCAACGTCGACGAGTGGTTCACCGTGTTCCGGCCTTCATGCACATCGTCATGGTGCGTTTCTGGGCACGAGCATATAGGGAGGACTTGGAGGCCGAGCTGATGACGACGCTGAGTCGGCAAATGGAGGACAAGTACGGGGGCGCGGCCGTTCATAGTCGAGAGGACCGTCTTGTTGGCGAGGGGGAGGCTCCTGCGTTACCCATCCTTGTTGTTGAGGAGAGGGGGGGTCGTGGGATGAAATTGCGGGTAAGAGTCTTGGGAAGAAACCAGAATCAAGACTGGTATTGCTTTTCTTTCGTTCTTTTTTCGTTCAAGTCTTGGCTGCGAGAAGTGCTTGCTCACGAGGAGTTGCATGTCGATTTCCTGGACCGTTCAGTTACCATGCTTGGCCCGAATCCGACGGCTCATCTCCGACTAACAAGACGAAGTTTCCATGTGGGATCTAATATCATCTGCGACTGGTCTCGATCAACTCACGGAGTTTTCCTAGCTCTGAGATTACCGACTGCCCTTGACACGAGATGCCAACCGGAGCAACGCCGAGTCACTCTGAACATGCTGAACACGTCCTTGGCATAGCCGGCCGTCCCTCTGTCGGGCTCTCTCCACAGCAAGTTGCGCGTCGTCGGGGAAAGGACCGCACTGTATAGGAGAAGTGTGCGTTTCGAGTTTATGACAGGAAGAAGGGCTGTTGATTCTTCTATTGTATGATGTTCTAGTACTCTGGCGGCCGACGTCGTGTTCCCATGAGTTGCGATAGAAGAGTCTCCGTATGCCCTTTGGAGCCTACAAACGGCAGGACGCAAGAAAGGCCCTCGGTTCTGGGGGCAGCTCACTGAGTAAGGCGTCTCGTTGTCACAATGTAAAACATAAAGCCAAATTTGAAGCGTCGAAAGAAGCAATTGCGCACCAATCTTGAGAGGGGAGTTGAGGAGAGAGGGGGGGGGCGGGGGGGAGGTTAACACTAGATTGAGGATTTTGGGAGCTAGACTAGGAAGGTGTGATGTGACGAGCGGGGAAGCCAAGACGACTTATCACGCCTCTTTAGAGCGGTTCTCCGATATTGGTCTATCGGCGCCTATAGCCGGTTGCATTGCCTCACGCACACATGGCAAGATCAGGAGGGGATGAGAGGCTTCCCACCTAGCCAGGGTCCCAATGCAGCTGTTACGTTACGTCAGGGTCTTGACTTGGACAGGATAGCACACGGGGGAGGTTTGTTGATGAACAACAGTCTTGTCATATGCGACAATGTGTGGATGACACCTCTTTAAAAGGGACGAGCTTATGCCTTGTGCGAATATGTGGTATATCATGATAGTCTGCTTCTGTGACACACCGTCAATACCTCAATGATGTACTGGACGACCCTCAACCGCCTTGCCGTATTGGTGGCTTTGCTGCTGCATGGATCTCTCCTCATCTACGCGGCAGCCGACACCGGCGTAAAGTCCATCTTCCTCTTCAAGGATGTGCTGCAGTCAAACACGACGGCTCTCAAGACGGCCGGCTTCGATAGTCTAGTCATCTTCCGGATCGGCGTCCTGGACAACGGCGACCTGGTTTACTACTCGACCGGGGACGCCGGGGAGGCAGTCGACGCCCCTGTCGTGACAAACGGCGCGTACGTCGGCGGGGCGGCGCTGGCGGACAAAATCAGATCTTTCAAGACGGGCACGACCAACATCGACAGGGTGGAGGTCTCGCTGGTCTCGCACGACACGACGTTCCAGAACATCCGCGACCTGATCAACGCTGACGGGCCGGGCCCGGACACCGTATTGTACAAGAACTTTGAGACCCTCAAGACGGAGTGGCACCTCGACGCCTTCAACAACGACGACGAAGGCGTCTACGACGTGTCGAGCACGGTCGAGTTCGCCCAGCTGCTGGGCGCCATCGGCTACCGGTATTCCATCGCGCCGTACACCAACAGCGCCTTCTGGACCACCATCAAGCGCGAAATCGACGCCGCGGCCCCGGGCCTGTTCGACCGCGTGTACCTGCAGGTCTACGACGGCGGCGCCGGCAACGACCCGGGGTCGTGGCAGACCGCCCTCGGGACCAAAGCCATCCCCCTTCTGTGGGTGATCAACGACGCGAAGCCGTCGCAGGGCGTCACGGCGGCGCAGGCCCAGCAAAGGTTCCGCAGCTGGTCCTCGCAGTACGCCGTGGCCGGGGGTGGGTACTGGAACGACTACGACATCGAGAAGATGGGCTCGTCCTACGCGGACTATGCCGCCGCACTCGCGAGTGTTTTCCAATGAGATATCAGCCAACGGGCCAACGAGATCACCGGGCTCACCGGAAAGATCTCTAATGGATGTCTTTTTTTCCCCCTTTTCTTTTCTTTTCTTAGTCGCGGTAAGCCGGGGTATTTTGTAGCAAAATATGCAAGAAAGACTTCTGGAGAATGAGAACCCGATCGGATCGCACCGTAACAACCAGACACTGCAACATCTTCCGAGTGAACTAATGCTGAGGTATAGATGGGTTTATGCCGCCTGTCCCGGCCCCAATCGAAATCCTTGTCGGTAAGGGTCCTGAAGTCTCGCCATCTCTCGCATAGGCCTGTAAATGTAAATAGCTACCGCTTATTGTGTCGAGCTAGCCTTTGCAGTTCATGCCCAACCAGCTAGCTAACTCCAAGTTCCCAACTAAAACACGACAGAAGGCGTACTTCATGCAGTGTTGGATATTCACTATAGTTCATCAAGATATGCGGCGAGGTGGCAAGGAGGAACAATCTCCTAGCATGAGCTCTTGGCTTCGCTTGGTAAGACTTTGCTTACGGTTGTCCTACCAGTGACGCATAGGCGTTGCCTCCATTTGCGTGACCGAGTCTACCGGTTTGAACTGCAACTAGTTTGGAAGGCCTCTTCTACCGATTAGCTAGTTAACGTGGGTCCGTGTTTGACGGAACGATGCCATTGCCTGGCAATGTGGCAATGGGGATTCCTTCGACCGCCTGTAGCCTTCGCTTCTTCATTTTCGCCTGGAATATTTGCCAGGCCGAATCTTTGCTTGTTGTGGATACAAAAGTTCTTGAAGATCTACGCCTTGGTAGAAAGAGAAACGCCGGAAGACCGGCGCATCCTTCAAATGAACCCATGCGAATTCTTCACTTCAGCCAAGCTCTCGAGAGCCGCTCTTACCGGGCGAGATGGTAGCCGTCAGGCATTTCATCATAAATATTCTTCCGAAGAAACAGGTCTAAACGCCTAAGAAACATCGGCCGCTGTAGCTTTCTGCACCTCAAATAGCAGGTGCGGCAAGAGAGTCGCGTCTGCTACCACAGCCACATGTGGCAGAAACATCAACTAAGGTGAACATTTCGTATCCCGACAGGGAAGAGTAGCGGATTCTTTGACTCCCGCGTTTCGCGAGATATCAGTGGGCAGGTCATATCAGACCCTCTCCCCGGGCCTCTCACGTTCCAGAGCACACATGCTCCCACCCACGCCGCATGTAACGACAACTGGAGAAGTATGTTGAGGCGAAAGACTGGCAGACGGTCTCTGAGGGTTGACAAAGAAAAAGACATATCAGCAACAGCTTGCTGGTTGAATTCCGTCCGATCGGCCAGTCGCTGACACCAATACACTAACTTCCATAATGACTTTTCCCACAACAAGAATGCTAGAAGGCAGTCATTAATAAAGATTGTATATATTACGCAATATTAGTTCAAGGCCAGTGAACCCGCTCTGTGGTGCTTGGTACCTAGTAACTAACCAGTACGTTGAATTTATGTTTGCTGTTCACTCTCCGAAGGACCCAAAATCTTGTAATATCGATCTGCGAAGCCCTAACCCCTATGGTCCATACTCACAATTAGAGAGTTGGTGTTTTCATACACCATACGGAAGGGTGGCCGAGTTGGTTATGGCGCCAGGTTAAGGTCAGCTTAACATCTGTTTCCTGGTGGGGCAACCCGCGCGAGTTCGAGTCTCGTCCCTTTCAACTTTTGCCTTTTTAGTTTAGTAGACAAGTTGAAATATCCTCAGCCTGTTTGGCTACATCTCCTCTCATTCTCTTTTGTAAAGTTAACTAATAGCAACGTTATACAGAAAAAGATAGACCTATGATATATATAGTAGTAGAAAATAGTTTTGCATCTTGCACGTTTAATAATGAACTAAGACACTGAGCAGGTACTAGTTGTAGGTATAACATAATGAATACCCTCCCGCACTTTTTGTTTTTTCTATTCACACTGCGTTCTCTCGTTATCTCTTACACATCCTCTTTAGAGCGGCTGGACTTAGTGGCAAACCCCCCTGCAGCTGCTCTGATATCTTCAGACCCCTGAGTTCCACCTCGACCACCCGGCTTTCCCGTGACCGACTGAGGAATATCGTGACCAGTAGCTGTGATTCCCTCGCCAACGCCTGATAGTCTGCCCTCCTCATCGTGAATGGAGTTGTCAGCAGCGCCATGCAATGTGGTCGAGCCCAGTCCACCGGCGGTAGACGGGTCCTTTTGGTGAGGGTTGGGCACGGAACTGATGATGTTCTGCTTGCCCGCATCACCGGGTACTAAACAATGAGGTGAGTCACTTGAATATCATCGGAGATTGCCTTATATTTGATTTACAAACCTTTGGTTCCGTTCTTAGCCATGTCAAATAAATCACCCCCTTGCTTTGCGTCGGCCATGATGTCTGTGAAGTTGGATGTCGGGCTAAGCTGGGTCTTTGGGGCTATCGAGGCCTTGGTGTATTGGCAATACTTACAATTGTCGAAGACCAAATGAAAAAAATAAATGAATTGGGACACAGTCTGGCCATCGGTGTTCTCCCAACAAGAGGACGAAGCTGTTATAAGGCGATGTTGAGCAAGCCACAATTCTGTGGACCATTGATGTCATGATGTCATGATGAGTGAGGCATACTAGAAGACGATTGCATCGCTGATGTGACGTCAAAACTGTAGGTATATCAAAGACCATAACGATTAGTATGGAACTCCCATTTCGATTACATCATCACTAGTTCTCTGTGTCTCGTTTATACCATGAAGACTTTTGGCAAATCGGCGCATTAGGTCGGTTTGTCACGTTATCTTTTGTTCCAATCGCTGCGGAAAAGCCCCGCCAACTCTAGATCAGATAGATGATGAGAATTCTATCATCAGAGTCTCAGGGCTTTCAAGATGTAAAGTATTTTACCTAGTCAATAGACCGTCTTCTAAACTTAGGGCTTCCAAGGTCAAACCTCCCATCTCCGAGGTAATAAGAATCTGATCAAAGACTATAACGGCCAAAATGCCATGGAGTGCTCCTCTTTATTCACCCGGAAGTGTGTCCAATGTACGCCGACAATGTAGCTCAGTTGAAGTGCATTGCGCTTGACAATCTTAACTTGTACAGTAGGGGTTCGCTCCAACTTCTCGGTGGAATATGCTATTCAAGTTAACAGAGATGTGATATCCAGCACCATCAATTGGGTCTTTTGACCGACCTCGCGTATGATAGTGTCACGGATGGTAGACTCCGTCGCCTCTTCCTTTCCTCCAGGTGTCTTGGAAACGTTTAGGAAATGTTTTTCACTGGAGTTGCGTTTGAGAGGAAGGACATTGGGGCCTGCAGTGTCGTATCACAAGATTGCAGCACCCATTGTCATTTCATTGACTTTGGATAAATCCCTTGGATTGAAGTAAAGTTAAGTTTCATAGAGCGTCATTGATAGAAATTCCATGGCTCGTTTTTCTTTCTTTTTGTCAATTTCAAAGTACTCCCAAGTAAGCTGACTTTGACTGCACCTAGATAAGATATCGATATGGATGGAACACTACTTTAGTAAATGCAAACACTACTTCGACGAATCTACTATCTGTTTATTTCAGTAACCCATGTAGACTACAAACCTTGGCCTTGATTGCCAAGAGTCCTAGGTCAGTCACTGGATTGACAAAAGTTTCTGCCTCACTCGCATCATCAAGACGGGTAATCTCGTGCTGCAATAGCTAGGTAGTCTGACCAGAAGCGTTGATGGACTTGGAATTGGTGAATTATATACTGCATTTAACAAGATATAAACGGTCAGCTTCGCCAAGGACAGCGCCCCACCGCAGCACTTCTGGTCTTGATTCGTTCTTTCTGACAGTGGGTAGCTGTACAAGTCACTGGAGACGCATTTAAGCTGGGGCATCTTACTACAACTAAGCATGATTCGTAGCGCCTTGATCATACACGCCCGTTATTATTCATTTTGATTATTCGTAATGTACATATGTGTCTCATAGCCAACTTCTCTGTTTTACAAGTGTAGTATCGATGACTTAGTCCTCGTTACCAACCTGCTTGACACCCTCGTTATTCACCACAGGCTGGTCCCGATCTAACTCGTACATCTTGTCCTCCTCGGCGTCATAGTGGCGGAAAGTGAAGTAGAAAACAAACCCAATCAAGAACGAGGAGCAGGACACACCGGTATACAACCACAAGTATTTGGGATCGACGGCAACTGAGACCAAAGCCTCAGAAATGGCCGAACCAAAGGCATTGGTGAAGAGATAGATACTCTGAACAAAGGACTTCATGTTGGGAGGGGCCTTGGTATATGCGTACTCAAGACCCGTGACTGAGATAAAAATCTCAGATAATCCAATGAAGACATAGGCAGGCGTCTGGACGGCGATGTGAACGCGATTGGGTAGCGAAGAACCTCCACTCATGCCCTCGGGGCAGTTTCCGGGAGATCCGAAGCAAGGGCCGGCGTTGTAGATGAGATGCTGGACGATGGCTGCATAGGCAAGGCAAAGGGCTGCAAGCCAGAAACCAATAGTGATGCGCATGATGGGCTTGAGCTCGATGCCAAACTTGCGCAGAAGCGGGTAGACGACCTTTTCGAGGATCGGAGTGAAGATCAAAATCGAGATGGGGTCGAAGTTCTGCATAAAATCATTCGGCATGCCGTGCCCCTCCATCTGTCCGGCCTGGGTAACGAAGTTTGTCGAGAACTGACCGTAGCAAACCCAGAAAATAGGATCTTAATTGACGCGGACATCAGCTTTAGGGTCACAAGTGACAGAAATCTGGGAGAACCAATGCTTTGAATGGAATGGAAACCGATTCACTCACAAAATACAAAGACCTTGCAGGCCCTGAGAGCACGCTTAAGCTCATCGACAAAATGGTCGTTCCACGGAACAGGCTTCTCCTTGCCGTTGGCGGCACGCCATGAGGGCTTAGCGGCATCCATGTTGCGGGATGCAATCATCAGACCAAGCGCCTTGAACGCATCGGTAATAACGGATCCCTGAGGAGGACGATTGACAAAGCTCTTGCGGCGGAGCACCAGCGTCGCGATACCAATGTTGAAGACGCAGAAACACATAAGGTACGCAGTCCAGAAGCCCTTGTACTTCTCCATGAAGGGGGTGGCCATGAGTGACAGAGATCCCAGGTT